CTAAGCCACTTCTGGCAAACCAGAGCAGCGCACAGAAACGCCATTTACCTTCCCGCCAGAGTGGTACCTATTTATCTACTTGCACTTTGACGCACTTTCGAACTGCTAGATTGGAAGGAGCAGGGACCAAGCAATGGGAGCTCACCCCGTCGCGGGGATTCGAACCGCCAACCTTCTGATCGGCAAGCCCTAGACTCTGTGGTTTAACCCACAGCACCACCCGCATCCATGTATGTATGTATGTATGTATGTATGTATGTATGATATAAATAAATAAATATAATATTATTATTATTATTATTATTATTAACGACAACTGAAAAAGGCAAGAGATAGCGAGCTCTGCTGGGGGAGGAAGTATTAGGCGATGGTTGAAAGGACTGATGGTCACACAGGGACCCGGGTTCAAAACAGAAGCACACACCCTCAAGCACAGATACATATGCAAGCATTTTGTGCATTGATGTTCTAGTGATGATTTCTTTAAAAGGAGGTAGTTGGTTCCCCCCCCCTTTTTTTTTTTTTTTGCAGATGCTGCTGGGTTTTGAATTGCAAGCAGGTGCCTACAGGATATAGGGTGTGGCGTTCTTCAAAGGAAGTTTACCTAAGGTGGGAGAAGGCCAGAATCTGCTGGATGGGATGGGCGGCCCGGGATCACAGGAAGAAAAAAAAGCAGAGGAAAATCATCCGGAGCCCGGAACCGAAGGCTGGGTCCATGCAAGAACCGCTAAAGCCAACAGCATGGTTTTAAGAGCGGAAACTTCAATCAGATACGTGTGTGTGTGTGTGTGTGTGTAATCATCCCCATATCACCACCATCCCATTTTCAGTCCTTCTATTTCTGATGTTCAGGCTGTGTGTGTGTCACTGCTTCTCCACCCACCCACAAGAGCGAGACATCAGCAGCTTTCTAAGAAAATCAGTTGGGGTGGGGACCTTGAGAGGGTGAACGCTGTGAGGGCTGACCATGCCAAGTAGATGCAGAATGCTAAATGTCTGCGAGTGGCTTTGGATCAGAAGCACTTCACGCTGCAACATTTTGTTGCGAGCCCCCAACTATACAGACTGTATTTACAACTATTGAAGAATGGCGGCATCTTAAGCAAAGCACTTCCAATCCTAGGTAGAATGCCTTTCTCTCACCCTGCAAAATACCTCAAGGCAACACGTCCATGAGCATGTGCAAAGTGCCTTTCCTTTGGAAAAGGAGTTTAAGAAGGTTGTTGTTGCATTTCCCCCCCTAAGGGACCTAAAAACACATTGCTTCTAAGTATACGCACAGTGTAATTCCCTTCTGACCAGGAGCAATTATTTTCGTAAGGCCAGCATGTCAATGAAAGGAGGATCTTTGAACTGCATGCTGTTTTTGTTTTTTAAACACAAACACTAAATACATACACACACACACACACACACACACACACACGATATTTTGTCCAACTTTGCATCCTTCTTTCTGGTAAAACCAGAAAGTTAAACTCTATCCAAATGGTGTTGCTGTTTTGCTCACTTTCCACATGGCTGAGTCCTTTCGTACGCCCCACTTACGAAACACCCCAAAGTGGAAGTTTAAACCACATTCGAGATGCTTAATTCCAGGAGAACCCATGTGAAAGGGAGAAAAGGGGAAGCAAAACGAGAGTTTTGGGTCACCAGAAAGTAAAAAAAAAAAAGTCTGTAAGTGTTTGGGTTGCAAAGATCAACCAGCCAGATGGAAGCCCAGCCAGATGGGTGGGGTATAAATAATAAATTATTATTATTATTATTATTATTATTATTATTATTAAGAGTAGCCTGAACTTGCACATTTAAAAACCAGAGGCGCCAAATTACCATACATGGACATCTTGCTTTAGATGTCTCCCTGCCCCCGAACAGTTGTCCATCTGTATAATTTCATTTTTATTTCCTGTCCCATTTCCCTCTCCCACCAACCTTGCCTGCCTCTTTTCTAGATGCTTTTGGCAATCAACAGGCTGAAATGGTGGCCCACGCACTCATTTGCCTGTAAGCAAATATCCCCAGGCTGCCTTCACCCAGTTGTGCATTTCTTGTATCTGGGAGTTCTGTCTGGAATTAGTAAGACACTTGTTACACACTCAGTGTGTCTCTTAAGAAGCTTCCGAGCAATCCTGTTCTCAGTTAAACATATATATATTATTCTGGTGGCAGCGGGAGGGGGGCAGGGGCAAGGTTAAAAAAAATCAAAGAAGGATGCTTTGAGGAAATGCAATGCACAGCACTCCACTCTCCAATTCACTGAATTCACTGCGTATGCTCATTTGGAGCCAATCTATAGGTGCTTATAAATAATAAAAACAAGGAGGGTTGTATAATGACCATTAGGAATTGCAGAGCAGGTTTTGAACCCAGCTCTGCATCTGATTTTTGAGGCACTGGCAATGTGGACTGGCAAACGGGCTATGGGCCCAAGACAGTTTGATGTAGGGTGGCACCCACACACAGATTCAGGCACACAGCTGGTCAGGCTTGTCGTCGGAGACAGAAAAAGCCCACAAGTGGTTCTCTTCTTTCTTGGCTGCAAAATACAGTAACAAGAAACCTTCCACAGCACCCAAAAATCAGCTGCTTTACTCTGCCTAATGGTAGGGCCGGCCTGAGAATTGGAGTCATGTCTCCTACTTGTGGGTTTCACATAGGCAATGTCTGGTTGGCCACTGTGTGAACAGGATGCTGGATTTAGAAGGGCCTCTGGCCTGATCCTGCCACAGGGTCTTCTTAGGAGAGCAGGGTTCAATTCCCCACTCAGTCCTGCAGGGTGACTCTAAGCCAGTCACTCTCTCGAAGTCTAACCCACCTCACAGGGTTGTTGTGAACACAAAATGGGTTAGGAAGGAAAACCCTGCATCTTGGAAGAAAATGTGGGGTTCTAATTTTTTAATATTTTTTTTAAAGTACAGTGGTACCTTGGTTTTCGAACATGATCTGTTCCGGAAGGCCATTCGAGTTCTGAAAAGTTCGTCAATGGAGACATTCGAAAACCGAGCTACAACTGTAACGGGAATTATTTTACACAATATGCTGGGGTCAAAGGTGGCAATTCTAAGCATTCAATGAAATGCGGGGGAGCCACAATTTTAGTGGTTAACTTGGATTGAGGGGTTCTCTGTGCATGCTCAGACACCCTCTCTACTTCTGACGTGTGGCAGAATCCCTGGTGTTCTGAGGTTAGGCCTACGAGCAAAGAGAGTTGTGGAGAAGAACTGAGAGAGGGAGGTTTGAGATGGCTCCAAAATGCAAAGTCACATGACAAGGAACATAAATCTAAGTCCAGAGAGTATTTTCAAACTATGTGGGAAAGACAGATCCCTTTCCAAGATAACCCAGGATCTGAATTCCAGTCACTTTGCAGCACACACCAAATTCTTAAGCACATCAAAAGACTGCCTTATTGTGGCATCAGCTTTTGTGGACACAGTCAGATACACTTAGGGCCCCTTCAAACATTAGGGGTGCATTTCAGGGTGGACATACTGCTTTGTTTTGAGTCAGTAAATGTCCCACAACTTCCTGATGAAATCCTGTATTTTCTTTTTTTTTATTATTCCAAAAATGTTCTGGGGTGGATTTTTTGTACTATAGCATCAGAAATGCACCTCCAGATGGCAAATAATGAAGCAGGAAGAAGCGTGGGCATTACAGTTTAAACCCATCACTACATCCATGGCATATTTGCGCTTGCAAAACACAAAACCAGCCCAATATTTGGAGGGACTACTGGTCCACAGAAACATGTGCCACAACAAAAGGTCTTGCCTTTAAAATGCCGCAAGACTCTTTGGGGTTGTTTGCAGATCTGTTTGGAAGGAGAAGAGGCCGGGGGATTTGAGGTCTCTCTCCAAATCGACATCCGTTCCCCAGCTGCTGGCTTAGTTTTTTAGCTCAGCAGCAAGTCAGCACTCCGAAATCTGTCTTCTCTTGCAAGGATCGGGCCCTGTTCCTACATGCTCACTGCAGCTGAACAACAGCCGCACAGAAGGGCCACTAGGCTGAAACCACCTCAAGCTTTCCACCCTATTTTGGAAAGGATAAGCGAGGATGAGAGAGAGAAAGAAGAATCTACCATAATGGGGGGAACCACACCTGACTTCTCTGCTCCAACCCACCAACTCCTATGCCAGTCCTCAAGTGTCCTGCATGGAACCGCTCTGGAAAGACCTGATCCTGTTTTACAAAAAGAGTAGATTTTGGTCAAAACTCCCAGGCTCTTTTCATAACTCTGGGAAGCACCTCACTCCTTGAACCACAAGCCAGGGAGTGAGACAGGAGATCGAAGTCTGCAATAGTTAATGTACTAGGATTATCTGGGACAAGGGAAGAAATGACCAGTGGTTAGTGCAGGGAGATGTCCAGGTTCTCCTTGGAGGAGAAAACCATAAGCAGGCTTAGAAGGGTGTGAAAAGGAAGCAGGGCCCATAAGTTCTTCAGAAAGTGAGCACAGTGCCTAGCGGTTACATCCCTGGAACAAGTGCTGTTGCTTCTGTGTTCTCTGGGCAATGTGAGGGATGCACCCAGTTAGGAAGCATTATATGGCCAGGGGATCAGCAGGTCTGGGATATTTCTTGGCTGGGGTGGAGTGGAGTGGAGAAGTACAGTTACAACAGTTTTCCCAAACCTGGGTCTCCAGCTCTTTGGGGACTACAATTCCCATTATCCCTGACCACAGGTCCTGCTGACTAGGGATGGTGGGAGTCATAGTCCAAAAAACAGCCAAGTTTGGGGTTAGAATCACAGCAGTGTAGAGTTGGAAGGAAACCCGGAGGGTCATCTAGTCCAACCCGCGCCAAGGAATCTCAGAGTAGCCTTCGCCAACCTGGCGCCCTCCATGCGCTCTGGACTGCTGGCTCACACCAGCCCTGGACGGGACGGGCGCTGCGAGACCAAAACCTCGTGTGTGTAGGGGGAGGGCGCCCCGGGGGGCCTGGCGGGAACCCCCCGGTCGGGCTCCATCCTTCCCAAACCGCGGGGTCTCTCCTTACCATGGCGAAGCCGGAGAGCAGCGCCGAGGTGCGGCTGGACGCCTTGAGCTTGGCCCGGCTGAGGTAGAGGCGGCGCCAGTTGAGCGCATGCAGCGAGTGCTGGTTGGCGCTCATGAGCTCCAGGTAGCTCCGACGGACGAACTCGCGGTACGTGGCCGAGACGCCCAGCGTCTCCGAGGCCTCGGGGTTCAACGGCTCCCGCTCGCCGTCCGCCCCGTCGCCGTCCGCCCCCTCGGAGCCGCCGGCCGCCTTCATCAGTCCCGGAGGAGGAGGGCAGCGGGGCCGGGCGCGGCGCGGAGGGACAAGCGGCCGCAGCAGCAGCAGCAGCAGCAACGCCGGCCGAGGGGGCAGAAGTTGGGGGGCTGGAAGGGGCGGGCAAACTCCGAGGGGCTGCGAGGAGGGAACAGAGGGGGCGCAAATAGGGATGGGGGGCGGAACCCCCGGAGGAGATGGGATAAGCGGGGAGAAAGTAGCCGCCAGGTGTTTAGCCGGTCATAGGTTGGAGGGGGCGCCCGGAGAGGAAAGTGTTGTGGGGGAGGCGCCCTCCTCAAATTGGGGAGAGGGGGCAGCGGGAGCGCGGCGAGACCCGCGAAGATCCAAAGGAGGAGGCGGGGAGGAAGTGGGGTGGGTGGGAAGGAGGGCGGAAAAGAGGGGCGTCGAGGGGCGTCGGGGAGCAGAGGAGGGGAAGCCCCGTTGGCGGGAGAGCGCGCGGATCCGACGCCGCGCCGGGGCGAAGAAAGTTGCGCTTCGCTCGGGCGGCGGGGCTGGGCGAGAGAAGGCGGGCGGGAAGGAAGGAGGGAGGGAGAGAGGGAGGGAAGGAGGGCGGGGAGAGAGAGGGAGGGAGGCAGAAAGAGAAACAGAGGAGTTTGCTCTGGCCGCGGGCGGCGTTTAAAGGGGAAGTAGCGACGCGGCAAAGATCCGCTTCCTTTTCGCGAACGTGGCTCGATTTTACCCTCCCAACAGCCCTGCGAGGTAGGAGAGGCGCGGTGAGACTCCGCATTGCGAAGCGGAGCCTGGTCTGCAGGAAGCAGGACGGAGCGGAGATGGTTACGGCGCAGGCCCTGTGCAGGATTACTCAGAAGTAAGGCCCTTGGAGCTTCGTGCAACTCGCTTCTCTGAAGGGGCAGGCGGGGAGTAAAAGGGATCCAGGGAACCTGCTCAAGCCGGGATCCACAGGCTCCCAAAGACCTTCCTTTTTTCTCAACATGTCTTTGGAGATCCGGCTGCGTCTGTATTGGAACTTAAAAATACCTTTTAAGATGTTTTATCACTTGTTTGCTACCTTGGGCCCCTTTGGGAGGAAGGTTGCGATATGAACATAATAAACCAGGGAAAGAATGAAAGAAAAGAGTTTTCTGATTCAGAATATGAGAGTACAACCGTTGGCCGATTAATATTCTACTACAGCATTTTAAATGTGTTTGGGTGGGTTATTGTTTTGTTGTTTCTGTTTTAACTGTTCGTGCTTTTATCTTGTATTTTTTTTATCTCGTGAACTGCCCTGAGATCTTTCTGTTAATCAGTTTCATTAAGAGTTTTCAACGTGCGATACAATAAAAACCAAACTAAATAAAATTAAAATTAAAGATACAGAAGAAGAAAAACAAATGAGGGAATGAGGGAAAAAAGACAGGAGGAAAAAAAGAGAATAAAAAAGAGAGATAATATAATAAAGCACAAAGTTGTGTATCTCCATTATATTTTAATTTTCAAGCCACCTGCAGAGAAGTGAATCTTGCCAAGAGCTTTGCTTCTTCATCTTCACACCCTGAGGAAACCCCCTCATACCCGCCCTGAGATCTTTTGATGAAGGGCAGTATATAAATCTAACAAATAATAATAATAGCACCTGATGTATATGAGCAGCCTGGATAGCCCAGATGGCTAGAGTGCTGAGGTTGCAGGTTTGATCCCCAGATGGGACAGCTGCCTATTCTGCATAGGGTTGCATTAGATCAGGCACAGGCAAATTCAGCCCTCCAGATGTTTTGGGACTACAATTCCCATCATCCCTGACCACTGGTCCTGTTAGCTAGGGATGATGGGAGTTGTAGTCCCAAAACATCTAGAGTGCCGAGTTTGCTTATGCCTGCATTAGTGGATCCTCAGGGTCCCATCCAACTATGATTCTATGGGGGACGCTCCTTGGCTCCACCAGAAAAGGCACGTCAGATAAAACCAGTTCTCTGGGAGGGGAAGCATTAAACAGAGACTTGAGCAGGAGGCTGGCTTCTCAATTAGGGCAGAGGTTTGGTCAACATACAAGACATACGTGAGGCGACACAGCAGTGCCACACCAGCAACACAGGGCATGTTTGGTTTTTATCACTGTGCCAAAAAACAATCATTATAAATAACATGCCTTATATTTACATTTGAGCAGGTGAACCTGACCTGAACTGGATGGTCAAGTGTGCTTGAAGGAGTTGCTGAGCATTAACTGGCCTGGAAGAACTTCATTTGTAGCTGAACCTTAAACAGGAACTGAACCAAATCTTTTCATGATTTGACTCACTTGCTGAGGAATGGCTGCCAGTCAAAATATTTGTGGGCACCAGGCTGGGAAAAACTGGCATACAGTGGTACCTCAGGTTAAGTACTTAATTTGTTCCGGAGGTCCGTACTTAACCTGAAACTGTTCTTAACCTGAAGCACCACTTTAACTAATGGGGCCTCATGCTGCCGCCGCGCCACCAGAGCACAATTTCTGTTCTCATCCTGAAGCAAAGTTCTTAAACCGAGGTAATATTTCTGGCTTAGCAGAGTCTGTAACCTGAAGCGTATGTAACCTGAGGTACCACTGTATAGGAGTTCAGCCTTAAACTTAACCGTTTTTCCATATTTTGGGGTGCCCCGTTGGCTGTGTTACAAACACTGTGTTTGTCACCCAAATGCCGAGCAAAATATTTGCTCTGAAACAGGTACACCAAAACGTTAAGCTATTGCTTTTAATGTCACAGAGACAGACCATTGGTTTTTTATTATGAGCATTGTACTTTTATGGCAGTACAATGTCATATTTATACATTACCCAGATAATTTCCTACGATTAGATTAGCATTTGAGTCAATGTTTGTATGCTTGTTGTACATGTGGTTTTAAAAAACAATAATTACCCTGATGTTTATACCTAAGCACACAGAGATTGCTATTGGGATAAATTTATTATTTTCTCTGTCTATTTGTCAACCACCCCCACTCCCAGCACTGCTGTCCCAATTAAAAATCAGAGTTGCCAACTTTTGCTTTAAAGTCGCATTGTTTGGTCTTAAAACCGAGAGATCTGACCACAGATGTGTTGCGTTGGGCCTGCTGCAAGCTGGCAAGGCTGACCTGCGGCCAGTCACAAGCCACCCTCATGCGCAGTCATTTTGGATGGGGCACAAAGTAGGTGGAAAGGCCAAGGGGGTCAGTTGGGAGATGCTACATCTCTGCCCCACAGCGAAGGGAGGGTGTGGGGCAGAAGGAGATGGCAAAATATTGAGACAATTGAATGGACTGCATCCCATCAAGGGGAAGTTGGGCAGTGGTAATTCTGCTAGATATGGAGACCAGACCACTGGCCAGACTTTTCCTGGGGACCGCCAGATGGGCTGGCCACACACAGCGGCAGCTTCAGAATAATTTGTCCACCCATGAGGCTGCATGCACGCCATTGCATTTAAAATAACGGGAACTGTCATTTACATCTCATAGAGCTGCAATTTTCAACACCCTTACAAACAGCCAAGGAGAACTTTCAATTTTAATTTTACAAACACAGTGGCAACTTGGTTCTCAAACACTTCGGTACTCAACCAACTTGGAACACGGTTTGCAAACTTTTCTTTGGAAGCCGAACGTGTTCCGTTTTGAGTGTTACGCTGAGTCTTGGCTTTGCTATTTATTTTGCGTTTTTGTTTTTGCGGCTCTTTTTGTTTTGTTTTTGTGATTGCATGGAACCCAGTTCAGCTACTGATGGATTGTGTGACTGCAGTACATTGTTTATTCATTTTATGGATCAATGGTATCGTTAGATAGTAAAATTCATGTTAAATTGCTGTTTTAGGGATTGTTTTATTAAGTCTGGAATGGATTAATCCATTTTGCATTACTTTCTATGGGAAAGTGCACCTTGGTTTTGGAACGCTTTGGTTTTGGAACGGACTTCTGGAACGGATTAAGTTTGAGAACCAAGGTACCACTGTAATAAAAGGAGAGAAAAAATGAAAGGGGAAGAAACGTGGAACAGAATGAGATCCATCGAGGGTGTAACACACAAAACCCCTTGAAGGGAAGGGATATTGAGCAGCGAGAGGATTCAAACCAGTGGAAGGAGGGAATCGATGTGGGGAAATTGGCCCTGTGTGCCACTGCCCAGCGGTGGTTGAAAGCCGGAACTGCAGAGAATTCAGCGGAGAAAAGGAATCTCTCTTTTCATCAATAGCCTTAGAGCAGGTCAGGTGAAGAAGGTACCTGGCTAAAAACTTCCAGGTCAGAGCAAAGAGACTTGAGGTTACCGTCAGACCATCTTCACACACTAGTCTTGTGCCCTGGAATACATCTGTGGTAGGGCTGCCCTACGTCCGGCTCAACCTCCAACAAATTTTGGGGAGTCCTGGTTTTTTACTTTTTGAAATATGGCAACCCTAGCTATGGAGACCTGAGGGGGCTAAAAAAATAATGCAGAACAGCATCAAGAAAGATGGAGCGAAACCCTGGTCCCGTCAGGCTCACACACAACTTACTTACTTTCTCCTTCCTATTTATCAAAAGTATCAGGGATTGGAACCGGGTCTTCTGGAGTGTTTGCAGTTCCTTCTCCTTTTGTGCCAGCCGTAACGTTCAAACCTTGTTCTCAACCATAACCAGTGCCTTCCCCCTTCAGCTGTGTAACAAACTGTTTTGGAAACGGGGGGGCGGGGTGTGTGTCTCAAACAGCATTTGCGATAAGACGTGGGGGTGGGTAGAAGAAATTAGCTGGCCTACAAGAATAAAAAGTAATCATTTCATTAGGATTTTCCTTTTGGGATTCTGATCAGCAGTTTGGGCCCTATGCTTAAATATTTTATTTATGTATGTGAGTGATTCAATGACAAAATAAAGCCTGTCTGCAAAATAAACACATGTTTTATAGGTTTGATTTTACCTATGCATCATAGGTTTATACAGGAATTTCTTGACCAGAGACTCCTGTTTCAGTAAAACAAATGGTATTGCTTTATTGTGTATTTTAAAGATGGTTCTATGTTTTTATAGCGGGTTTTGATACCGGGTGGAAGCCTGTTTTCGCATTGAGTGGTATATAAATCAGTTGATTACATAAATAACAAGAACTGGTATGGTTTGGCGGCTACAGCAACCTTTATCAGCCTGCTGCCCTCCAGATGTATTGGCCTGCAATTCCCAAAGGTTCGGGGCCAGTACTGGGTTCGAATGCTGGATCCAAGCTCAAATCTCTACTTAGCCATGAAGATCAGCGGGTGACCTTGGGAAATTTAAACTACCTGTGAACCCAAAGTAAGCTTCCCGCCCCCCGGAAGCTGCCCACTGCATCTTTCAATGAGTCACAGTCCGAACTGTGCACCCTCCCCCTTTGAAGCTTCCCAAGGGATTGAACCACAGCAGAATCACCCTCAGTGTGGAGATACCAGACAGAATTAGGATTCATCTGCTAAGGGAAAAGAAACAATGAGGAGCATCTTGGGTGCCTTTTTCAGCCTCTCTGTGCCATACTACAAATGCAGAAAGAGAGGGGTGGTCGGATGGACTGAACCACTGTTTTTCTAATGTTCCTTGCATTAAATCAATCCCTGCAAGTAAAGAACTAGCATCTCAGGAAGGGAGTTCCTTTCCCTGCCAGTTTTTCTACTTGCAGAGTATTCTTTTTTAAAAAAATAATGAGTGCATTCAGAATTTCTACCCTCGACCCCCCCATCTCACCTTGTACAGAGTTTCTACCACCTAATTTTGCTGCAGGTATAGAGACAAAGGCCTGTTGACCGTCAGGTAGGGGCACATTCAGAACAGCGATTCACACAGAAACACAACAGGTGAGCTCATCCGAAGTTCGCAGTCACACACTCTAAAATGAAATAGTTTCTGATTCAAAGCTGAAAGGTGCCACCAGTTTCAGTCCTGGAAAATGGCGTCTCGAGGTGTCAGATATGCATCCGTCTTAATAAAGACACTGTACAATGCAAATCCCCTTCTCTCCACTGACAACCCCCCGCCTCCAAAATAACCCCAGAACACTCGGCTATCAGACCAACGCAAAATAAAAACAAATTAAAACCTTTAAAAAAAACAAAAGGAGAGTTTATAAAAAAATATTTCCAGAAACCATAAAACAGAACCCAATGAAAATAATAATAATAAAAATTAATTAAAAACCCCAACATTTTTTTATTCGCAACATTTCTTTCGGAAGGAAAATAAAACCAGGGGAGGGGGAAAATAATGAAAAACAGGCTTTTTAAGACCAAAACATACTTCCTTTTTTTGATTTTTTTTTCAGTTTTCGTTTATATAGCAAACAGTTATTGTACAATAATAGAACCCCTGAAATTCAGATTGGAACCTGGTCTCGCGCCCGCCCCTCCCCGGCATCTGAGCAGTTCCCAAAGGGTGGGGGGTCTGGGACAGAGATGTGCAGGTCAAACATTGCGAAAGACACATTGCTCCAAAGTGGATTCTTTAAAGTTTTCGTTTTTTCTTTCTTTCTCTCCCATCTCCCCTCCACCTCCCCTCCCTGGGGCTTATCTTTGTCTCGGTGGATACAGGTGAGGAGGAGGAGGAGGAGGAGAAAAAACGTGGCTGTGTGTGCGGTTTAAAAGTTGTAGCCAAAGATGGAGAAAATCGCCTTGGAGGGGAGGAAACGAGGAGGAGCTGGAATATAGCTTTGGTCCGCTAAACTGGGAGAAGGGGTTTTGTGTATGCAATACGCCAGTGACCGGAAAACGTTCCGTATTATACCTCTTGGGGGGCAAATCCCTTGGAACATTTTGTGGGAGGCTACATCCGTGGGGTGGGAGGAAAGGGTTTTTTGTTTCATTTTGCAGGGGGGGGTTAGCAAATGCATCCCCCATATTCTTCTATCATTCCAGGAGCAAACCGTTTAGGCTTGAGAGACAGCTGCCTGTATATTAATGCTCATTTGCCTTTTAAAGTGATTGTGGGTGGGAGAAAATAAGGGTGGTTGGGGAAGGGGGAGCGGAGGGGTGGGCTTATCACCTACAGCCCCCCTCCCTGTCCAAAGGGAGCATTTTTGCCCCTCTCTGGGGTTCATCTGACTTCCCACCCCTCGCAGCCCCCCGCCCAAAGCAGCAGTCTGTAGCATAGTAACGCACCCTTAAGATGATAATTCTCGCTTTTCTCTCTCTCGCTCGCTCTCTTCACCATTTCTTTTAAAACCTGAGGTATTTTTCTTTTCTTAGTTAAAACATCCATTAAAAACAAATATTTTCTTTTCTTAAAAAAAAAAACCCCAAAAAACAAAAAACCCTAAATGATATGTCTGAAAACAGCACCTCCGTCCCCCTCGTCTGGACAAGGGAATCCGAGGGGTTGGGGTGGGGGTCACCACATGGCACGGGGAGTGTGACCCCCCCCCACTCCTTTTACATTACGTGTTTTTGCCTCTCCTCATCCTCCACAATCCATAAAGCACACAGTGAAACCCAGACCCATAAATTGCCATTTCTTAGTGTACGGGTCTCCTTTGGTCGGAGGAGGAATTGAGATGGAGGAGACAAGCAACAGATCAAAGGCTGCTGTGGTGAGAGCAGGCCTCATTTGCGCCAAGGAGGGTGAGCTCTGGAATCAAGTAGTACGCATTTATGCTGTGTCCAAAGGGGAGTTAGCGTTTTTTGAGGATGTTGGGGGGGAGAGAGGACTGTTTGATCTTCTCCCTCCCCCCCATAAATGCACAATACTGACCTCCCTTCCTTGCCCCACACTTGCCTGTGTTGTATCCTAGCCCCCCTCCCCTCCCCACAGCTCCTCACCATCTTTAATACTCTTTTTGTTTTAGGAGCTTCTAAGAGGCGACTGTGGAAGGGGGGAAATTCTTCTATGGGGAAGGGGAAATCCAGAAAAGAAGGGAGCAGGGCAAGGGGAGAAAGTAAGATACCTTGGCCCTCTTTGGCTAATCAAGTGAGAGGGAAGGATTTTAGTAATAACAAAAAACAAAACAAAAAAACACCACCACGGACAAATGAAAATTTTAAAAAAGCAACGACGAAAACCAATTTTCTTAAAACAATATAAAAGCACCCAACAGAACCTTAAAAAAAACCAAAAAGACACCAAAAACCTCGCCTCCGATTCCACAACCTATCGCTGCGTGTGTTTTTTCAAGTAATGCTTTAGTAATAAATGAACGTTCAAGTATATATTAACAAAAAAACAACAACAAAAAAAGAAGTAGTTATGGTTACCGATTTGACCAAAAATAAAATAAAATAAGAAAAACCACGACCCAACCCAGCCTCAAGCCATTTCTCCTCTTCCTCCCCATATGATGGCGGCACCCTCTGAGGACCCAGGCGGAGGTGGAGGGGAAGGGGGCCGAGGAAGAGAAGGGGCTCCGGGAAATCTTTGTAACGAGAAAGGTGGGTTGGGGGGCAGCAGGGAGCCCCCCCCAGCTGTGGGAATCCGGGTGACCTGCGATGATGCCCCCCGCTGGCAACTGACCGCCCCTCCCTCCCAAAACCCAGCTGAGTCCCATCCCCGTTGGGAGGAAACCTAAAGAAGCAAAAATGGCTCAGTGAGCAGAGCTGGGCACCTTGGACGGCTGCAACCAGCCTCCCTTCCCGGGACGGGCCAGCGTGGCGGAAGGGAAGAAGAGCTCCCGTTAGCCGCATCAATCCCACCTCCGCCGCAGAAGGGAGCCAAGAAATGGCCGACAAACAGGCACGTCTTCGGTCCGGAACATTCTTTTTCGTGCCGTTTTCTACAGTATTTCCCCCCCGCTCCTCCTCCTCCTCCTGCCACCACGCTCTTTAGAAAAGGGAAAAAAACGACCACGGGGGTGGGAAGAAAACGCAACCGAGGTGGGGAGGGGGGAAATGTGTGTGTTCAAGTTTGACAACTCCGCGGCCGGGAGGAGGGCGACCAGAATTAAGACAAGGCTACCCAAGCCCAACATGCGTGGTGCTGTGGGAAAGAAAACACAGCTCTCTGCTCTCCCCCCTCCCTTAAAAGTGGTTATTAAAGCTTATGGACCAAAGAAGGAAAGTGGGGTGGGACAAGGGTTGGAGGGGCTGGCAGAGAAGGGAGCGTCAGGGCAGACAGCGGCATCTCCTCTCCCGGGAGGGGTTTTCTAAAGTAAAAATCAAGCACAGCAAGACAGCAGGCTCAAGCCGTTCATCTTGCTTGCCCCCCAGCCCCCCCAGGGGCTGACACAGACACATATTACTGGCCGAGAAGGGGGGGGGGCAGATAGAAAAGAAAGGTCATGACTTCCAAGTTGGAAATACTGCTGGAGTGGAATGGTAGGCGATGGTGCCAGGATGGGACAGAAGAGGAATACACAAGGGGGGTGGCAGCAGGCAGGGCTGTTTGGATTAACAGGTATATGTGCTTTGGGGGGGGTGAGGGTGGAGAACTGGTGCGTGGTTCACATGTACGGGTGCAAGCGGCCACCTTTTTATGGTGCTCCTGGTATCGACACCCCCAAAGTTGTCTGGAGGGGGAGAGAGGATGCTCCCCATGTTAATTTCTCAACGTGGCTCCTCCAACATTACCTTCGCGGTAGGGAACGGTGTCCGGAGCTGTGCTATGCAGACTGAGGGCAGCAGAAGAGGCACCGTGCCTGCCTGCGCACATGTGAAGGGCCGTGGCACTTTCGAGGCGCTCCCTCCTTACGAGCTCCTTGCATGCGCAAGGGGTAGCGCTGAGAGACACAGGACGTTTCACGTCACACTTGGCCTCGCGTTCTCCCTTGGGGCCTTCTGATGTGCGTTTCCGCACAGGGACGTGCAAGGTGGATCTGAAGCATTTCTGGGAAGGATATCCCAAGCTTCTGAATCTCTGCACGGTCTACCAGTGAACGGGGCGGGGGGGGCGGGCGGCTGGGGACGAAAGACAGGGAGGCAAGTGTTGTGGGACGGACGTTCTTCGGGGAGTCTCTCCACGCACACAGCTTATGTGCACATGTGTGTATGTGTGTGTGTGTAAACAATACAGCAGCGGAGACGGCATGTGTACGGATTGCCATGTGCGCACGTGTGGGGGGGGCGTTATCGTTTTGGCTTGCAGGGCCAGGAACACGGAGTCCAGATTTGGGCCGCGGGAGACCGCCTGCACATTCAGTGCGTGACGACCCATAGCCTGTGCCCTCCCAGTGGATGTGGGGCGGACGGAATTTCAGTGGGTATGTAGTGAGGGGGGGCGGGAGGGATCGAAGTATCAGCTGCCTGGCTCCCCCGCCCCACCCTTTGTAAAAACCGCACTGAAAAAATGAGTGCTTGGGGAAGGAGGGATGGGGGGAAAGGCAGGCAGGCAGGCAGGCAGGCACGCACACTTTCAAAATCATAAAGGCAGCATGTGGGGGGCGGGATGGAGGAGGTTGGAGTGCACATATGCATCGGGGAGGGGGCCGGAGTGAGAAAAATAACCTGACACCATAAAATAAGCTGCCTTCCTCCTGAGCCAGCATTTAAAGGCTGTGTGTCAACCCCCCTCACCCCAAGAGAAAGAGAGCGTGGTACCGACTGCGGCACAGACAGGTTGGGGTTTGGGGGGGGCGGAGAGTACGACGCAGTGCATGATGGGAGGAGGAGGAAAACGCCTTTTCCCAGCATTGTAAAGCAACAAGGCTACCCCAGGCCCCACTTACTCCGTGGCTCTGTCCTGGAACGAGGGGGGGGGGTGGAGCAAGAGGCGGCCGACCCCCACCCTGGCAGGGGTGGGGAGGGGGGTGGGGTGGGGGGAGCACAACCCTCCACCCCTCTTCTTTAGCTGCGCACATCGAGGGGGGTGGAGACGCCACTCCGGTTCAGTGCATGGCTTTAAGTAAAAAGGTTCTCTCAGAGTCCGCGTCCGGTTTGTCCGACTGGCGAGGCAGAGTCTCCCTTGCGCCTCCACCCCAGGGCGGGTATTAGCTGTCCTTCAGCAGCAATTTCTCCTCGGGGCAACGGAAAGGGGGCCCGGGAGGCGCCGAGCCAGGGGCCGGGGGGACGGAGGTGCTGTTGGAGACAGAGTCCTCGGCAAAGCGGGCGCAGGCCTCGGGCGTGACGTGGTGGCAGGTGCGCAGGTCGATGCGGGAGAGGCGCGGGCAGCGGCGGAAAAGGGGCAGACACTGATCCGTCAGCCGGTTGCACCCTGCAGAGAGGGGGTAGGGAAAGGGAGAACAGGCAGGTCAAAAGTCAGGAATAAAGGTTTTGCTTCAGAACCCCCCTGGTTTGGGGAAAACAGGTTCGTTCTCAAAGGAACAGGGACCGGGCCTCCGCCCTCCAACAAGGCAAGATTACTATCTCAGCATGGAGAAGCAAACCATAGGCTAAATTTGCAGCTCGCTAGAATCCATGGAAATTTGAAAGTGGGGATGCAAAAAATCAGGTCTCAGGGATGGAGTTTTTCAAGCCAAAGACCCACCAAACATGCCTGTGGTATGTAAGTTTTTGGGTTTTTTATGGTGGCATGCATAGGAAATATCTAAGTTCACTTATTCTAAGGGTGGAAGGCACACCTTCACTACATATTTAACAGGCCTAATAGTAATTTCATCGGCTAAGGGAACTATGGGAACTGATCTCTTTAATTAGATTCTCAGCATAGAATTAACATACTACAATTCCTAGGATTTGGGGGGATGGCTGGGAGCCATGACAGTTTAAGACTTGTAAAACCAGCACACACTTATAAGGCTGATATGCCCTGCACAGTTCCCAACCTTGGGCCTCCAGCTGTTTTTGGACTACAACTCCCATCATCCCTAGCTAGCAAGACCAGTGGTCAGGGATGATGGGAATTGTAGTTCAAAAACAGCTGGAGGCCCAAGGTTGGGAAACACTGGTCTAGCTGCTCTTTGCGTTGTCTCCTGACGAGAAACAGTCGTTCTTGTCTCTTTCCTGAGCCACACTTGGAAGTTCTGAGGCTGTGCTTGGGACTAGGTGGAGGTAACAATAAAAATTACATCTGTGTTGTTGTTGTTGTTGTCGTTGTTGTTTAAGGACAACCATTCCCTGCAACGTGACCCGGAAGTGTCTTTGGACGGCGCCGGCTCCCGGCCTCTAGAGTGAGATGAGCGCACAACCCTAGAGTCTGTCAAGACTGGCCTGTACGGGCAGGGGTACCTTTACCTTTACCTATTCCCTGCAACATTCAGATCTGGCTAGGGAAAAAGAAGGGGGCAGACGACTGAGGCTTGCATAGGCAGCACAAGACCCAAAAGGGGCCAGTAGGGACGTCCTAAGTGGTGTAGACCTACGATAAGACTTGCCTAAAGAGCAGGAAAGGATTGGTACCAGAGCAACCAGGAGAGAGTCAGCATGGTGTAGTGAGTGTCAGACTATGGCCTGGGTGAGACCGGGGTTCAAATCCCCACCCGCCAACAAAGCTGACCATATGACAGTCAACCAATGTGGTGTAGTGGTTAAGAGCGGTGGACTCGTAATCTGGTGAACCAGGTTCGATTCCCCACTCCTCCACATGCAGCTGCTGGGTGACCTTGGGCCAGTCACACTTCTCTGAAGTCTATCAGCCTCACTCACCTCACAGAGTGCTTGTTGTGGGGGAGGAAGGGAAAGGAGCTTGTTAGCCGCTTTGAGACTCCTTCGGGTAGTGATAAAGCGGGATATCAAATCCAAAAACCAAAAACCTAACCAGCCTCGCAGGGCTGTTGTGAGAATCAAAATGGGCTGGGGGAGAACCACATTTGCCACCTTGATCTCTTTGGAGGAAAGGTGGAATAGAAATGCGACAAACCAAAATTGGTAAGAGAGAAGATTGAGGAACGGCATTCGGGGAGAGGAAGGAAATCCCCAACACTCACCGGCGAGGTTGAGCTCGGCAAGGGTCTCTCGGAGTGGGGAGTTAGCAGCAGTCAGCAGGTTAACAGACTGGTCGCCCACGTGGTTGCAGTGGCTCAGGTCCAGTTTGGCAAGCTGGGGCGTGTGCCGGATCACCAAGCGCAGCGAGGAGTCCGTGATGTCCAGCCCAGAGAGCCGCAGCTCAGAAACATTCTGGAGCCGACCCCGACTGTCGGTCTGGCCTGGCGGTCGCAGGGGGAAGGAAGCAGACGAGTTAGGCGGGGCAGCCGGGCCAGAGGGCGCAACCCCTTTCGGAGGCGGCCGGTTCAAGCTGCTGTTAAAGGGTGGCAGTTTGAGGTTTGTTCCAACAGCATTTTCAGATTTTGTATAAGAGGAAGCCCTCCGGAAGCTGCTGCACTCCAACTCCCATCGGTTCCAGCCGGCTGAGCCAATGGCAAGGGTTGATGGGAGTTGTAGTCCAGTTTTGAGAGGGCGTCACCTTGGCTGCCCCTGAAACAGAAGCACCCACCCACCCACACCCACACCCAGAAACAAGGCAATGGACTTGACGGTGTGGTATTTTTTTTAAATAAAGAAGTAAGATTCCAGGTTGATGAGCAAGGGGCCCACTTTTACGGATCACCTTAAGTACAGACAAATCCCCTTCTCTTAGCAAGTATTTCCAGAGGAAGTTAGCTAGGACTGTTGTCTATACTGCATGAAACAAAAAAATCCCCTGGTACCTAAAAAACTCATCAGGATGGAACATGATTGGTTGCAAATTTTAAGCAATTGTTTGAAAGGTGCAGGTCAGTAATATACAGTTAATGATGTCTAATGTCCTGGAAGAATTTTGCAGGGAGAGCAAGGAACACAATCCATTATTTTATGCCTGTAGTTTGATGAAGGAAAGGAACAGAGTCGGCTGCGGGCCCTTCCCCAAAGGGCCTCTCCACCCCATTGCGCGCCCCGTTTTACCCGGCTTGGCATCCGGGGCAGGCAACAGCAGTTCGCGGAGGTGAGAGTCCTTGACGTCCTCGATCCAACGCAAATCCAGGAGCCGCAGGGAGGGGAAGTTGGCTGTGCTGAGCGCCGACACGGAGCACCAAGAACAGCCTGTCAGGATGAGTTCCTTGAGGCCTGGGGGGGATGAGGAGATGACACTTTGTCACTGAGGTTCTCCTCCGCACCTCCAGCTGGTCCTGCCCCCACTTCCTTTGAGAAGTGAAGAGTGCTGCCTCGCAGCTCAGGGTCTCCCCCCACTAAAAAAATATACCCTCGCACCCACCGTCAAGAGGGCAGGAAGCCTGGAGGGCAAAGGACTGGGGGGGTGCACTGACTTGTGCACACCCAGAGAGCAGAGGCTAGAGCGTAGGAGACTTGCACCTGTGTATGGAATTGCTCCTGGGTCGTGACCCTGGCTCCCCATCTCCTCCACCTGCTGCCCACCCAACCAAACCACCTCCTGCTTCAAGGCAGAGTGGCTCACTGAAGTGGGACACCTGTGGCTGGGCTGTTCCATGTGAGACTCTGGGGTGGGGGGGAGGGTTGGCTCTCCTGATTCAATGCTCCTCTCCAGAGGCAGAATTTTTTTTTTCCTGGGGCGCATGTTTGCAAAGTAAAATGCTGAAAGAGGAAGCAGGCTCGTTTCTCATTTTGAAAAAGCAAGGAAATATTTTGCCTTGTATCACAGGTTCTTCAAGTGCTAGGAACTTGCTCTTTAAAAAATAATTATACAAAACCCAGGGATTTGACACCATGGTTCATTCCAGGGTATGGGGACTCCCCCCACCCCATCCAGTGGATGCCTTTGCTCAAAACAAAGTCCACTTGGGTGGGCATGAAGGTGTCTAGGAGAAGATTAAGAGTGAACCCCTTTCCTGGTCATGCAGTTTTTCCATATATATATATTTCTCCAAAACATCCCCACTCGCTTCTTATCTTCTTTTCATCCCAATTTCATGACCACACAGGTTTTCCATGCAGAAGGATTGGTGGTCCCCCCACACACACTGTTGCATGGGGAGGGACCACTCCATAAAGTGAGGTCCTGCCTCTATCGGAAGTGTCTGCCCCTGAATCAATCAGGCCGCCCTCCCAAGACATCGCCAAGGAAACCAAGGCCGAAGGCAGGAAATGCCACCTGGACAACCCTGTCGCCATGGGGATGTTTCGGATCCCGATACCAAACACGGATATCACTTTGACTGCAATAATTTTTGTAAGGTGCATTGAAAGCCTCTCTGTGCTGCAACAGGATGCAAATGCCTTAAAGAAGTAAAATAAAGTGGTACAGCCTAGGCACAGCCCCCCTTCTGGACACCAGACATTCCCTTTAGCCAATTATCTCCCACCTTCTAACAAACAAGGCCCCAAAAACTTCTTTACTACTCACTCCTGAAAGTCATATGCCAAACCCTGACAACTCCAGTCTACTTCTGGCTGGGCTTATTTTCTCAATGACTTTGCTGATGCCCAGATAGTTAGCGACAGGGAGCCACTTCTTTGTGTGTCCCCTACGTGAGAGGTCTGGAGGGTGGCAACACGAGAACGGGCCTTTTCTGTGGTAGCTCCCCATTTGTGGAATGCTCTTCCCAGGGAAGTTTGCCTTGCCTTTTAGGTGCCAGGCAAAATCTTTTCTTTATAATCAGGCCTTTGGCTGACCAAACATTCTATGGCCTTTTAATTGTGCTTGTGGGAGGGGGGTGTTATTGGTTTGTTTTTGTTTATGTATTATGTATTTCCTGTTCTCATTTTGTATGGTTTGTGTGTGTGTGTGAACTGCCCTGGGATTTAGTTAGTTAGTTAGTTAGTTAGTTAGTTAGTTAGTTAGTTGGTTAGTTAGTTATACCCTGCCCATCTGGCTGGGTTTCCCCAGCCACTCGGGCTGGCTCCCAGCATAATATTAAAAACACAATAAAACATCAAACATTAAAAACTTCCCTAAACAGGGCTGCCTTCAGATGCCTTCTAAAAGTCAGATAGTTGTTTTTTCCCTTGACATCTGACAGGAGGGCATTCCACAGGGTGGGTGCCACTACCGAGAAGCCCCTCTGCCTGGTTCCTTGCAATTATTTAATAAATAATAATCACGGAATCATAGAGTTGGAAGGGACCCCTTATGGGGATCGAACCTGCAACCTCAGTGTTATCAGCACCACGCTCTAACCAACTGAGCTACTTATTCAGTTAACAACAGTAACTGGAATATCTGAAGACCAGGAGCGGGGTGTAGGTCTGTAAGCCCTTTTGCTCCTTCCAGAGCCTCTGGCTGCTGGGAAACAGAAGCTGAAAGAGACGCTCCCTCTGAGCCACAACATCCAGCTGCTACATCAGGTGTTTGCAGGCTGGGGTGATTTCCACCAACCTGCCATGGCCCAGACATCCAGCAGCAGCATTGCAACTGGGCTTTGTGCTCATATAGCCGCTTTGGCCGCTCACTAGAAACCACTGCCTAACTTCAAATCATTGTGCACCACCTTGAGACTTTTGATTAGCAAAGGGGGTGTAAATGCTCCTCCACACATCCCACACAACACCCACAATACCTTGCAACCTGTTGAGAAGCCACATTAGCTGCTTCTTGGAGATGTTGGTCCAGCTAAGGTCAAGGCTGGCCGGCTGCCGGCGGATGATGCCGCTCAGCATGGAGGGAGTGATGGATTTCCGACGGCTCAGGTCAATGTGCGTCCATAGCCGCTTGTCACAGCACCTGGGGCGAGGGGAAGAGCGGCAGAAGGGGAGAACTCAGCCCAGGAGATGGCGGGGGTGCAAAAACACATCTGTGTACGATCGTTCATTAACAGGGCTAAAAGGTTTAGAACTGGCAGGTTGATCCAGGATTGCATATATATAAATGGATAAAGGACCCCTGGCCTGTTAAGACCAGTCAAAGGTGACTATGAGGTTGTGGCGCTCATCTCGCTTTCAGGCCGAGGGAGCCAGTGTTTGTCCGCAGACAGCTTTCCGGGTCCTGTGGCCAGCATGACTAAACTGAATCTAGCTCAACGGAACACCATGATGGAAACCAGAGTGCACGGAAACGCTGTTTACCTTTCCACCGCAATGGTACCTACTTGCACTGATATGCTTTCGAAATGCTAGGTTGCCAGAAGCTGGGGCAGAGCAACGGGAGCTCACCCAATCACAGGGATTTAAACTGCCGACCTGATCGGCAAGCCCAAGAGGCTTAGTGGTTTAGACCACAGCGCCACCCGCATCCAGGATTGTACTTAATGTAGGAGGAGTTTTGCTGCATCAGGCCCAAGTCCAGCACTCTGCTCTCACAGCGGCCAACCAGGTGCCTACAGGAAGGTGGCAGGCAGGACCTGAGTGCCACAGCAACTCTTCCCCATTGGGATTCCCAGCAAACTGACATTCAGACAAACACTGATGCTAACTTGGCTAGTAGCCACAGGCGACCAAAAATGCAGTGGGCTGGTGGAGGTGGAGGGGCAAATCTTTCCCTTCCTTCCCAAGCACGTTTGGGTTTCTGCCCTGTGCGAAGGAAGAGAAGTCTCTCTCTCTCTCTCAGCTCTGCCATCCTGTTTGGTAGAGGGTGATTTAAGGCCACTATCCTGCCTTTGTGCATTGGCTGTGAAGAAAGGGGTTTTCCTCTTCTGCATCCAGCATGTGAAGCATGGAAACACAAGAGACCAGCCTCTTAGCTGGCTGGTAAAAACCCATTACAGGCTATTAAGGGTGTGGGGTGGGGTTCATTCACAAGACATGTGAAAGGTCACAGGGTCTTCATTCCTGAGCTAAAGCTTTCATTCATTTGCTTCCAAACTGTGTCTCAGAAGCAGGACAGCCGCACAATTAAAAGAAATTCTTAAGTCAAGCCAATGAGTTTTTAAATGACCCGTCATATCAAGTCAATTGCCTACATCTGCATGCAACAACGAGAAGGGGGGAAAACATTTCTGGAGGGGCAAAGGCATCCTTCCATTGGTCTTTGATGGTGAACACATCTTTCACAACAAACACTGTGCAAAAACAGCCTTCCCACTCCTGCCTAGAGTGAGAGTGAATATTGCATCTGCCACTTGTTGCTTTCATAACTGCATTAAGAAAAAACTTTTAAAAAATTCTGTGTTGCTCAGTTAAATGAAAGTGTCTGTATTGGTCTGTAATCAATCGACCCAGAAGTTGCCAGGAGAGATGGGGCCCCTCAATGAGAACCATCAGAAATGGCAGACTAGCTTTCCAGAAGGAGAGCTGGACCTCCCCAATACAAACTTCCCCTCTGCTGTGTGAAATCTTTGGATATCTTTGCTAATATTTCTCTTTCTGTCTTAAACCCAAAGTCTCCAAAAGGCGTGATTCCCAAACCTGGTTGCTAGAGATCCTTTTAAATAGAGAAGCTGGGAGTTCAACAGTTGGACCCTCTGCATGCCAAGGACAAGCTGCAACCCTAAGTTATGCCAACACGACTCTTGAGAAGTCAAAAGGGAGCATCACATTCTGCGCTAAGGCAATGAATATACAAATGAATGCTCCCACCCCACCCCTTTTCCTCCACCCCCATAGCCCTGATATGCATGGGCTGGGCATGTTTCCTGCCCATCAGAAAGTGAAACTAGCAAGGTGGAAGTTGTTGGTTTTTTTAAAAAAAGGAAGTGTTTTGGTTTTTTTAAAGCCCACTTTTAGGTTCTGACAGCTACATAGCTGAAGACCCCATGTTCAGACAGAAGAGGTCTGCCACATAGAAGGAGCCGCTCCATTTGCCGGAGCACAGCAGGACAACCTGCAAGACGGTGGGAATTTTCTGTAATGGCATGAAGAAAACACCTCCCTGCCACCAATCCACATGGCAAGCCGCTGCTGGCAAATGACACCAAAGCAGGCTAAGATGGCAAGCACAGGGGGGGAACATGGCAACTGTCCTTGGTGACTGAGTTTTGAACCCCTCCTGTGCAAGACTGTTCTGCCTTCCCCACCCCTGACTCCTGTTTCGTACTACTTGCTTTGCCAAAAATGGATGATAATAATAATTGGATGGTTGACATAGATATGCGTAGAAACCTGGAAGATGAATAGGGCTTGAAAGCAGAAGGATAAGGTAATTTCTTAAACCCCTGAAGCCGTCATGATCACGTACAGAGAAACCTCAAGGGCGTATCACTGCGTTTGTTCTGATTTCTGTCTCATTGACCTTGGCCTCTTCCTTCCCACAGTTGAAACTTCCAAAGATCAAGCTCATCTTTTGCTGCTTGCCTGGCTTTTACAAAGCATGCCGAGGCTGGTGGAAACTGCTCGAAAGCACCATGTCCAGCAAGGACGCTCTGCCTATCTAGGGGGAGAGGACTTCCCAGCATTCCTTGAGACCAGCGAGATCCTGGGTCATCACTGACCTTGACCCGGTCGCTCTCGTGAGGGTGACAGCAGAGGGAGGAAGAGAAATGAAACCAGCCACACAGAGCTCCTTGGATATTAGAGCTTCTTAGGATACTGAGCAAATAAAGAGAAACAGTGAGTGTAACCCAGGAAACAAGGAGCACGCGTGTGAAGAGGCTGGCCCCTGCACCTGGGAACCTGCCTGCCATAAAGTCGCACTACTGCGCTTATCTAGCTCAGTGCTGGCAACACTAACTGGCAGCAGCTGTCCAGGATTTCAAGAAAGGGACATCTCCAATATAGCGGCCCTGAGAGCCCCCCTTGGTTCATTCCGTGCCATGCACAGCTCAGTGCAAGGAGAAATAAGCCCCCCACTCATGACACGGGCAGCTCTCGCCAAGAGAAATCCCACGCATGAGCTCAGCAGGAAATCTCCATTACATTACAAGGCTCCCTGACGCAGACCAGTCTTCCCTCCAGACACAGCAGTCCCCATTAGGGCTGGGCGATATATCGATACATCATCCAAAACCGGTTTTGAAGTACGCATCGTGATATCCGTTTCATAACTTTTGAACTGGCAACATATCACAAAGCATGTTATGCGTGTATGTGTGCCATGCAAAAAATCACAATGCAGGGGAAACCGTGAAGCCAGCCAGCGAGTCTCTCGATTTCTGCACCCCCTGTTATCTCTGCTGGCTCAACCCACAAGAATAACAAGAGCAGGCACCGGCAAAAATCACAATGCAGGAAAAACCGTGAAGTCAGCCAATACCTCTACATCCTTATTTCAGACATCGTGATATATCAGCATATCGTGATGTTTCGTTGGTGATACATCACAATGTTGAAAACCAGATTATCGCCCAGCTCTAGTCCCCATCCTGAGATCGTCGGTGTCACCATCAGCGCTTGTGGCATTCGCACTCCTGCCTCCCCGTCATCTCCATTCACAGGTTACGCAGCTGCTGAATAGGCCCAGTCCCCCATCCTGGATCTGCCAAACAATATGGCTCCAGGCAGTTCAGGGAACGTGGAAGCAGCTGTACGAGCGCGACCTAAAACCTGCTCCCCCACCCCAGGACCTCTCTGGCACTCCCCGCGCTGCTCCTCCAGGCACGCCCCTGGCCACCCTGGCACTCACCAACGGCTCCATGTCCGGCACACCCTCATGCAGACGCACAGCTCCCGATAGCTGAGGTATTGGAAGACGGCCAACCAAACGTCCCGCTGCATGATATGGTCGGATCCGCTGTCCAAAGGCAGGGAGTCGGGCTCGGGGCTGTCGGGCGGCGGACGCACCACGTGCCGCTCCAGCTGCAGCAGAGGCTTGGGCGGCGAGGGCACCAGGGGCCAGTTGAGGAACTGAGTCCGCGCCACCATGCGCAGGCCCGTCTGCCCGGCAGGCCGGCCCGCCTTGCGCCCGCCCGCCTGCTGCTTGGCCCGCTCGCTGCCCCGGCTGGTCGGGCGGTGATTGTTCTCTTTCTCCTGAGAGTTCCCCCGAGCTTTCGGCTGCTTGCCGTTGCGCGCCGTCTCCGAGCTGCCGTTGCGCCGCCCGCCCTCCGACGCCTCCTCCTCTTCCTCTTCTTCCTCTTCCTCGTCGTCCTCGCTGGCGCTGAAGCCCAGAGCGGCCAGGCGCTGGGAGCGGGTGGCTGGGGAGGCGGCTCGGCTCGACACCCCCCCGCTGGAGCCGTCTGAGCCCCGAGAGTCCGTGTCGGAGTCAGAGTCCGAACTGGAGCTCGAGCTGCTGCTGTTCTTCACCCGCTCCAACATCTGGCACATCTGCTTGAAGCGCTCCAGCTTTTCCCGCTGGTGGGACTTGTCTGATTGCGTGGAGGGCTCCAGGGGGCCCGGAGGACCCTTCGGCTTCTGGAGGAAAAGGAAAGACTGGTAGTCAAGAGAGTTCGTGCCCTGGGTTGCTAGCTCGGTTTGGCTTTCATCCGGGGACCCTCCCTGTTTGCAGGACTACAACTCCCATCATCCCTGACCATTGGTCATGCTGGCTGGGGGCAGATGTGTCTTGGGAATCCACTCTCTGGAGGGCACCACGATCCCACCCTGCCTGGATCTTTTCATCAGGTTGTCTTGAAAAAGAAGCTAGGATAGCTCAGTTGGTATGAGACTCTTGATCTCTGGATTAGGAGTTCAAGCCCCATGTTGGGCAAAAGATTCCTGCATTGCAGGGGGTTGGACTAAATGACCCTCTTGGTCCCTTCCAATTCTAGGATTCTAGGATCTCCCTTCCAGAGGGTGTTTACCAGGACTGGATTAAGACCTTTAGAGGCCCTAAAGCTAAGCACTTTAAAAGATTTTGGTACCCAGATATATCTTATTCAAAATGGAAACCGTGTAATAAATTGTTATTGTTTGAAATGAAATAAAACATACAGTAAGATGGAAAATGTCTTATTTTTTTTGTACACTTCCACTTTATTCCATGAAACACACAATTTAATTACTTTCTTACAGCTGAATTAACGTAGATAGATATTTGTGTCAGAATTTGTGAACTGAAAAGTGGAATTGCTGGCCCGTGGCAAATCCAGCAATGGAAAATTCCTGTGGTGCCCCCCCCCTTCCCTTAATGTCCTAAGCATATGCTTATTTTGCTTTATGGTCAATCCAGACCTGGCGCTTACCAATGGTAGGGTTGACATACTCGTTTCAAAACAACAGATTCTTGCCAGGAGGGAAGATCCCAGCATCCTGCTACCCTAGATATATGTGAAATGTAACTCTCAACGCTCAAGAGCCACAGCCTGGGCTCAGGGCTCTCATGTACAGTCTGCTTAGAATTCCACAACAGAAGACAAGGTGGGATGCAAGCGGACTGAATAAAGCATTCCACCAACCCCCAACCATCTCCCAAGATCAACGGAGAGCAAGCCCTTTAAGTCTGGCCTCTACGTGACCCGGCTGCCTTCGTAACGTCCAGATTAGATGATGGGGAATGCACCCACAAAGGTGGGTGATTATTTAAGGTCTCTAGACAAAACTCCAGGTCCAGCTGCACCCCCCCCCCTTCAGACAGGAGGCTGATACCACTTTCTCCACAAATCTAACCATGGGGGTGGGCAAGGAATCTACTTTGCTGCCATAGCAGCATCTCTGACCAAGCATTTAGCAGTTTTTGACTGGATGCTGCTTTTCTGCCATGCCCTGCTTTGGAATGTTTCTGTAACGGAACTGTTTCAAACAGTTGCTTGCAGGGCACTTTGGTGAACCTTGTTGCTGGAAGACAAGACAGAAATGTGGTTGTTTTTTAATCAACAAAATTGCCTGGAGACTCACCAAAGCCCAAGTTGGGGCATCTTCTGGACAAAGCGGGAAAGTTTGGAAAAACCAAAAGCCATTGATGTTAAAGGTCAGTAATTTTTTAAAGGAGCGTTTTAGTGTTTTCAATATGACATTACCTGCCTTGTGGCTTTGAGATGGACAGGTTATAAATCAAATAGTTGTAAAGGATCAAGTAACCACGTCACGTTTGTGAAAATCGAAGATGCCTGTATTCGCAGCTGTATCTCAGTGCTCTTCGCTTATGCATATTTGACATCTCGCTAGGAGGGTGCCGCTGTGGAGCTGTCAGTTCGCAGGATACCCCCCTCCCCAAATGGTCAGGTGGTATAATATTCCCTGTCATATGATTGCAGCCCCACCTAGTGGCCAAAGGGAACACAAGCGCAGTCCTTCTGGACCAGATCAATCACACCACAGCGTTCTGTTCTCACATTGACCAACCAGATGACTCTATGAGCAGGGCAACTCTCTCATTCCTGATCCCCAACGACTGGTATTCAAAGGCATACTGCCTCCGATTCCGGAGCCTCATCCTCCATCCATTCCACTAAACCCCTTTGAAAGCCTCCCAAGTTGGCAGCCGTTGCCGCAGTCTGTGGGATTGCTGGCGACGCACATGAAAAGGATGCATCACTTGGGGCGCCCCTGAAGCCAGCTGGACCAGCAAGAATTGGGGGGGGGGGGAGTGGCCACTTAGTGACAGCATCAGACTACAGTGTGAAGGCACCTGGGGAGCTCAGCATGTCCTGCTCTGGCAATGAATAAACTGAGAATGTGCTTAGCAGAGAATCCCAGCCCCCTTTTCCTGAAGGCGTTTCTCCCCCCCGCCCCTTTGTGGAATTGTAGCTCAGTGAGAACATATTTTGTATGAAAAAAAAGAAAAGGGTCCCTGCTCAGCCCTGAAGCTCACTGGATGACCTTGGGAACGGTGCCGTCTCTCAGCCTAATCTACGTCAAAGGGCTGCTGCGGGGATCAAAAACGGAGACGAGCCACGCCGTCTGTTTCCATGGGAAAAGGTGGGATAGAATAAACAAATAAAATTCAGCCTTGAAACAGGAGAAGGCTGCTGCTGCTGCTGCCCAGCTACCTCCTATCTACTGCCTCAGCCAGAACCAAGGACTTGTTCTTCTCCTTTCACCATATGAAACTGCTTCTGCCGGATGCCTCTCTCGGTACCAGGCATTGCAGAAACCCACTGTCTTCACATCCATGTTTTTCGGGCCTCCCCAAAGGCCTCCCCTACGTCTGATTGGGCAAGGCTCTTCCTACGTGCCCGAAGGCTGCCAGCCACTCACAGACGCCCCAGCTAAACCCCACCTCTCACCTCTAAGTCGCTGGCGGTGATCTGATTCAAGTGGATGGAGGGGTGGGAGATGGTGCCCTTCACCTCAAAGTCCCCGCTGCCCATGCGGCTCCAGGTCTGCATGGATTGCAACTTGTTCCCATCGGGCTGCTGCTCAGTGGCCTGGAAAGGAAAGGTGCGGGCAGAGAAGAGAGAGAGAGAGAAAGAGACACACACAAAAGTTCAAGTGAGCTAGAGAGAGAGAGATGCGTCTTAGGACATGCAAGCGACTTGAGAAAAACGTGCCCTGAATTGTGTGAACCTCCATTTGGAATCTGACAACAGCAGCCCCCTGGGTTTATATGAATGGGACGGGGGCCTGGGAGATAGCTCGGCATTCTGCCCAGTGAAAATGCAGCAGGCTCGGCCTCTGCCACTCTAGAGGACGGAGAAGGAAACGTCAGGGAAGCCAATTGTGGCTAAATGTTAGGAGAAACTTCCTTAACAGCACAAGCTGTTTGAAAGCAGAAAGACAACTGCCCCAGGAGGTGGGGGGTGGACTCTTCTTCGCTGGGGGTGTTTTTGAGACCAGGTAGCAGATGAGCTAAAGCTGAGCAGTCAGACATCTGCTTAGCATGCAGAAAGTCCCAACTTCTCCCAGTAAGACTGGGAGATACTCCCTGCCTCGAATCCTAGGAAGCACCGCTGCCAGTTAGTGCAGATTAAGACTGAACTGGGCAGGCCAATGGTCTGAGTTGGCATGAGGCAGCTTCCTGTGTTGATCCTGTACGGAGGAGGATGGAATGGAGGCTCTGCGACCTGATGTTGTGCAAGAGCTATGCTGATGAACAGAACAGGCGCACATCTTGCTCAAATGTGCTAGAGAAATACAAGGTGCACTCACATGCTGGCAAGCAGGTCACTCCCTTTCCACTTCTCTCTGCACAGCCTCCGTGTCCTGGTTGCCCCTGCTATCCCCCCGTTATCTTATCCTGGCCTTGCTCCATGAAATCAAGCTGGGCGAGAAAATTCACAAGCACTCACCTTCTTCAAATGCTTTTCCCGCGTGCCTTTTAACTGCAAGAGAGAAGAGAAGGCTGTTGGAATTCTGGGCTGCAGTGTCTCTAATTCAGAAGACTCAATAAGGATTTTGAGGGCAAAGGAAGGCCTTTGGGAATGAGGGCAAGCTGGGAGGCTGTCCCATCTCTGAGAGGGAAGGAGCTGCAGCAAGTTACTGGGTGTAAAGAAACAAAGAAAAAAGGTGCGATGGGATGTTCTGGAGGAAGGAGATAGCTCTCCCCTCTGCCCATCCCTCTTAAGTGTGGTCAGTGCAGAAGACCAAAACCATAAGCTTGATCAACAACTCAGGAAGGAGGAGTAAAAATGCCCATTTGCGGGGTCCAATGTAAACCACACTTGCAAATGGATAAAGCAGAGTTGACTGTCAGCACCAATCATCAGGTCTAAGAAGCTGCCACCCGATGCCCAGTGACTGATAGGTGGGCAGCCCCATACACCTGCCCCAAACAGTGTGCTGAGGGCAGGCCAGTTCTTGATCTGGCTCTGGAGCTGAAACACATGCCCCATTCCTGCTCTAATATGCCAGGAGGGAACTGGAACTCCTGGATCTCACTCTCAGTAGGAAGGAATAACAGAGCTCAACCTCATGTTATGCAATCTCAGGCCTAATTTCAAAAAGCCTCTGCAAGCCATCAGTTCAGATCTCTAGGAACAGCCGTTTGTCCCTCCTCTGGCCCCCACCCCATTGGGTCAAAAGAAAGAAGGGGTGCCAGAAAGAACCTCCCCCCTCGGAGGCAGCTATGGCACAGAATCTCAGCTGCTCTGAGACAAAATGCAAAAAGGGCTATTGCCTTCGCACATTGCTCACGGCCTTCCTGGAAGCAGCTGTCTGCCACTGCGAGGAAACGGGATGCTTGGCCAAAATGGGACCATTGGCTGGAGTCTTCTAGTGGGGTGATCCTAGGAGGCGAGGGGTCCTCCGCGTTTAGTGGACTCAGAGACACATTTGGAAATCTGAGGAACAGGCTCCATGATTTAAATCGCCCTTTGACACCTTGCCAATTTAAATCACCTTGATTTGAAATCAACCCATCCCCCGTCAAAAGGGGGGGGGAAAGATCCTGAAAGACATTGTAAAAAAGGGGGCAGGAAGATAGAGGGGCTTGGTTGGCACTGAAGGAGGGTCTCAGGGGGGTGCTGTGGTGCCCAGAACCACATTGGAGACCCCAGGAGAGGAAGGGAGGATCCTGGGTCCCTGGCCAGGCAGGCGACATCCGTCAGACAGAGCAGAGCGGCAGCCTCTGACCTTTTTCTTGGGCCCTGTGTCTGGGGGTGGCAGCTCCTTCTCCTTCTTCCGCTTGTGGGCCCCGGCCTGAACTGGGCTTTCCTCCGTGGGTGGCGGGGGCAAAGGCGGCGCCGGCGCCAACTTCTTCTTGTTCTGAGCAGGCTCGTCCGTCAGCTTCCACCGGACGCCATCCTCGCCGTTGTCGGAACGCCGCTTCCCCGTGCCGTCGCCCGAGTCCTGCGGGCGCAAGGAGGGCAGAGGGGCAGGGGCAGTTAGTGGGCAGCCACAATTCACCTACGTGCAAGATGGAGCAAGGAGAGGGGGGCAAGCAGCCTGCCAGCCGCTTCCTGCTGCCCGAAGAGAACAGGAGGACGGTGGGATGGGCTTCGGCAAAAGCGAGAGGACTCTCAAGAGCAGCAGGATAGGGGTCACCTGCACGGGGCACAGACCCGACAGCAGCAGGATGCGGCCACTCGCAAGACGGCTCAACACTCGTGGGGAGTTTTATTTTAAACACGGCACGTTGTCCTTGAGCGTGGACGAATGTAAACATGTTTTCCAGACGGCAGAGAACGAGCCAGACACTGGTTTTGCTCAGGGACTCCAAAGGAGGATAAAAAAGGAAGGCGGGAAGAATAAGGTTCTTGCATTTCTTGCAGGGAGGATAAAAATCAATGGTTTTTTCATTTTAAAAAATTTTAAAATCTGATTTTTTAAAATTTAAATCGGATTTTTAAAATGAAATGCTTTTGGAGGAAAAATCTTTCTAAAGATAGTTTTCTATTTAAATTACATTATAGTCATTTGTTTTAAGTTTTTCATGTGTGCTAAAACTCATTCTAAGTGTTTTTTTTAATTGTTTAATCACATCAGTTAACAAACTTGTATACGTATGCTATGTTATTGCTTTAGTTAAATAAATTGTTTAAATTATTATTAAGGAAATGATTATTTTTCTCCTTCCAATAAAGTACAGCAGAAAACATTGTCCAAATATAAACAGTTAACTTATTAAACCTCACAATAGTTTCATAATTATCTGTATAAGTGTTTCTAATAATATAACCAAATCAGTAATTTTTGATATAACTGTAAAAAGTACTCTGAAAATTTATTATTCCAAAAACGAAACCTCCATCTGGTTGTAAATATTAAGATTATACCAGCAAGAATGAGTCTTTCTGTAAGAAAATGATTTAAATCAAGTCTTACTGACAAGTGATTTAAATTGTGATTTAAATCAAATCCATCCTGATTTCTTGAAATCTTTTCATGCTGAGGCACTCGCGGGAAAGAACTTGTGGAAGGCAGGCAGGGGAGATATCACCACTGTCACACATAGATTCTCCCCTGCAAAGCACGGCAGCCTTTTCAAAACGTTGCTCCTCATGGGCAGTTTCCAAAATGGGAAATGTGCCCTTTTATATTTATCATCAGCAGAACGTCAACCACAACATTCCTTTGCCTCCTGGAGGTACACAGTTGGCTGGGACATGTAGGGAGTGTCAATTTAGAGGACCAAACTAAATTACAGTGAGGGGTCTTTCTGAGCGTGAGGAATTCAAATCTGCTATTTATTTTTGTGACTGGATAACATTTAGCTTGGCAAGTCTATGTTTGGTGAAGAAGCATATAAGTTGTTTCTGAGAATCAAATAATTTCAATTTTATCTTCTGAACGTGTCAGCTAATGCTAAATAAAAATAAATAAATAATAACAATAGTATTTATATACAATACTAATATATAAAACATTAATATATAATACATTTACAGTATATGATTTCTATGTCTTTTACACACAATTTAGTTTTGTTTGGTAAGTAAAATAAATATTACCATATTTACGTGCCATCGAATCTAATGCACACCTCAATTTTCAAAACCCTGGAGCCAAAAAAGTATTTGCTGGCGAATGTAAATGCGCCATCAAATCTAATGCACGCCCTAATTTTCACGATGCAATTTGGCCAAAAAATTACCCATTACATTTGAGTAAATACGGTAATTAAACCAGAATATCTTTTGAATTCCCAAGTCATGTTGCGACTTTTTAGCACCCCTCATTTTTGGAATTTGGAAGCTGAAAAAATAAAACTTGCTCCGAATTGGGACAGAGCCTTTGCTGTACGTAACTTCCTCCTCAGGAGATTTGAGTGGATCTCTCCACTTGAAGCTTCAGGCAACCTGTTAGGACCCCATTTTGGGGGAATGCCATTTTATAAATACATATCTAGATACACAAGACCCTGGTTGGGGAGGAGAGACCCGGTTGCATACAGGTGACAATTCACTGGGGAGAAATCTGAGGGCCCAGTGGTTCAGCACCCCCTTTGCCTCATGAGGTCTGGAAGCATGACTCTACCAAGGCAACAAGCAGCTCCGCTCTGTTTGAGGATGGTGGGCCAGGAGGCCTCGCGAAGAGTTTATTTCCACATGACAACAGGAAATACTGAGCAGGAGTGGATTAGCCGAGGAACGGGCAGGCAGAATTTCAGGCCGCGTATTCCCTGCGCTCAGGGCCCCACAACCATCCATCACTCCCCACAGCGCTGGGTGGGAGGGGGCAAGGGAAAAGCACAGAAGCTGGGAGCCTAACCTGGATGTGGAAGCGAAAGGATACACACACAAACCTGGCTCCATTACGCCCACCCTCCCCAGCACATACACACAGAGCCTCCCAAAGCAAGACTGGCCTGGCAGGGCACGGATGGCCCCCCAGCCCACACTGGGCTGGCCGTGCAAAGGTCTTCCATTGCCTGCACTGCCCAGCAGACCCATTGACGTACTTTCATCGATTTGCCTTCTCTCTTGCACTTGGGGCATTCCCAACAGTTTGGAATCTCATTGTTGATGACCCCTTCGGCTTTCCCCATCTGCAAAAGAGAAAAAGGGGTGACAGCATCTGTTAGGCCCCAAGGTGGGGTTGTTGCTGTTGTTGTTTGCAAGGGCCAGTTTCTCTCTCTCTCTCTTTCTCTCTCTCGTTCACTCCCTCACCTTCAAGCAGCCCGGATGCACAATCTCGTTGCAAATGGTGCACTCCATGAGCGACAGGTTGAACTTCTCCTCTTCGCCCTCCACTGTGTCCTCTTTCCCGGCCTCCCCACACACCAGGCACACAGCCGTGTGAGGTAGAACTGGCTGCAACGAGAGAGGGGTGGGAAGTGAGGGGCAGGGGTGGAGGGTCGGGGGCAGGGATGGGGGTTCACTCATGTGAGGCTCCTTCCCACCCCGCAGAAACAGGTTATAACGAGGAACTGCGGGAAAAGTCAACAAATCGACAGTACATTAGATGTGTGCAGCGGCTCTCCCATGCAGCTAACCAAGATGTCTGAAGAAACATATTTCCCAATCCAGTGAGCCATTGCTCGTGGGAACGCACTGCATTTTTTCGCCGCTGAATGCAACGCCCGGTTCTAAACTTTGCATCAGAAGTATTGGTTAAAACGCGTTCTATGCGAACTGGGGTAGCTCAGTTCATAGAGCATGAGGCTCTTAATCTCAGGGTTGCAGATTCGAGACCCACGTTGGGTAAAAGGCTCCTACTTTGCCTCAAAGGCTCCCTCGTGGTCCCTTCCAACCCGGCAATTCTATGATTCTATAATTCTTTCACAAGGAACACACACCCCACGCGCATACACAGAGTGCTCGGTTCCTGAGCTTTCATAAGAGGGGCAATCACTGATGTAAGACTTTGAAACACAAGACAAGCCACTCTACAGATATTTCAGGAAAACAATAGCACTCAGCAATTGCTATGGGACCTTCTAAGAGACTGGGAGGAAATGATCGGGTGGGAGGCTCCTAGAATAACTGCGCCTTGCAGGATCTAAACAGATCAAAGATTACTTTTGCTTCAAATCAAACAAGTCTCCTGCAGCCTATAGAAGTCAGTTCCAAAACATGCGAAACAAGAAAAGAAACCCAAATCATGTGATAAACTCAGTTCCCGGGCTGCACAATTGCAGGATTGGGAGACGGAGGCATCTTTGAATGCTCACATATACAAACAACATATTCCATCCCTGCAAGCAAAAGCCGGCTTGCAAGAAGAACCTGCAGCTCTTCTGCCTGACATGGCAGCTGTTTAGATGCAGAGAGTTCCTTTGCAAAGTTCCTCACTCGCTCACATGATGTGATCTGGTTTTACATGCAACGCTCAGCAGGTTCCAACATGCAGTAAAATAGCTTGAGGGACAGTGCTGACACATCAGAGAGCACGTGAGGCAAACTGAATATGTAAAAGCCCTCCTATGTAGAAATAAATAATAATAATAATAATAATAATAATACAAATCCTGCATGCAGAAGGTAGTAAGTCAGCATGTCAGGCAGGACACTTTCACTTTTCAACTCTCCCTTCCTAACATACTAGCTTTCTATATGTAGGGAGGAGTGTGGTCTTGCACAGACGGAGATATATTTGTAAACATGGAGAATTCCCCCATGCCAAGCCCTCCACCTGCATCCTGAATTATTAAACCCCGGTTAGAACTGTACCCCACACTTTTTTTCTACACGTCTGACATATCTGAGAGTCACACGCAAAGCCAGAAGAGACAGGAACATGCGGCAAGAATGAGGACTTTGAAAAGAGATGCGGCCGGCATTTTTAATGACCTGCCTCAACCCTTGAGAGAACCAGGAGCACATGAGAGTTTATGAAGACTCCCACAATGCAGGCTTGACGGCATTTACCTTCACAATCCTAAGGACCAGAAACTTATGCCGCATTTAAAATCACGTTCAAATTTTCTTAGCTAATTTAAAATCACAGCACATCTCAAGCAATTAACCCAGAAAGCACTTGTCATGTTTCTTTCATGGGCAGGCAAGTTAGAAAATGGACATAATTGGAAACCCAGTTCATATTCCACATTGGATGGTTGGCGATGAAAGGTATGGTCTTTGGCTCTTTTAGAGAAATTGACACAACAAAAGAGACGTTGAGGAATCATCTAAGAGCAGTGATGGCCAAAGTTGGCCCTCCAGGTGTTTTGGGACTACAATTCCCATCATCCCTGACCACTGGTCCTGTTAGCTAGGGATGATGGGAGTTGTAGGCCCAAAAACACCAGGAGGGCCAAGTTTGGCCATCACTGATCTAAGAAGATACCTTTACTGAACTTTAGTGTCCTCTCCTATAAGTTAACAGAGGTGACTCTGGACTCTCATACGGCATGGCAGTCCAGTTCATTTTGGAGCGAATAGTGACACACACTTTGAATGCCGCTATTGGATAGCCAGTGCCTTACCACTTTGCCGTTGGGCATATTAGTTTTTCCGTGAAAACTTTAATGAAACCAATGGGGGGTTTTTTTGCACCTCCGTTACCAATCTGCGCCAAACTGCCCCTCTATTTGCCACGGTGGAGTCGGGGGACCAGCAGCCCCAAACCCTGGACAGAAACCCACCCTGCAAACCACCCTCCCTCCCACTTCCCCACTCACCGCCGTGCACTGCCGCTGGAGGCAGGACTGCTTCATGCGCCCTGGCCCCCCGAACTTCTTCATGTCCTTGCAGAAGTGGCACTCCCCACACTCCGACCGCAGGCAAGCTTTGCACTTCCGGCACCGCGTCCGCCGCCGGCGAGCTCCAGCCCCCGCCCCTTTGCTGGACGACATTGGCTACGTCCCGCTTCAGCTACTCTCTGGGCTGCAAGGGGAGAGAAAGAGAGAGAGAGGTGCGCAAGCGATGAGCGAGCCACCGCTTTCCAAGGCGGGCAGGCAGGTGGGCAAGGAAAGTGGCAGCCGCCGAGGCGAATGAAGAGAAGAGAGGCAAACTGAAACGCAAAAACAAGTGAACCGAGATCCTGGCATAATCGTCAAGGGGAGGAAACTGTTAAACATGCAATGCGCTGGAAGAAGAAACTGGAGCGGTGGAAACCCTTTGCTCACAGGCCTAGCTAAGACTGCCAAGATTTCCAATGCGGCCTGCAAGGTCATGATGGACGCACCAAGGCCACCTGCCCTACATCTGATGTCATGTAAGGGCCAAGCAAAGATGTGGCTCAGATGAAAAGGAGGGTGCAGACAAAGCTGATCAGCCCTGCGCAACAGGGCAGATGCAGAGAGCAGACGTCCCCATCATCAAGGCATCATGGAATGAACAGTTCAGGTCAAGAAATATTGCACCCATTCAAAGTGAAATTGGGGCAACCCATTATATCAGGACGCCTTGGTGTCCCTCCCAGCTTTGGGAAGGGTGAAGGGACAAGGGGTCCAGCGTCAATATGCGCCTGCAGTTTGGCAGATTCAGGGAACTTGGGGTCTGCAGTAGGCCCACAACTCTAAGTCTGTGAAGAACCTTAGTGCCCCACAGAGGGTGGAACAGCAAAGCAGTGCATCCCATCGCCGTCTAGGCTAGGACAGGTCACACGACAAACCCGGACGTTTTGTAGAACTTTTCAGTCAGGCCTGGTTCTTTGCTGCGAGCAATCAAGAGCCTCATTTTGCAGCTCTCATTTTGCCACAGCCTGCATTGCTCAACTTCACCTACAGCAGCTCGTTCCGTGCTATCGCTGTGTGTGTGTGTGTGTGTGTGTGTGTGCGCGCGCGCACACACACACACACACACACACACAGGATTTTCATTCTTCTCCAAGATCAGGGAAATGCTCCGGACACGCGACAGAGAGCTCTTGACATGCTTCTTGTTATAAACAGGAAGCCTGTGTATATGGCGATGGCTTTAGATTTTGTCCGAAACAGAACTGGGAGGGGAGGAACACTTCACACCCCTTAGGAGCAAACCACTTTACTGGAGCAGGGAGAAAAAGGTATATGTGTTTGCAGGCCCCAACTGCCACAAAAACTAATTTTTAAAAAATGCTCTCCTGTTGAACAAACTACACATATACACAGACATAACACCCTACAGCTCTCTCAGAAACATCGCACAGCAGAGTAAGGAACCAAGAGAGATTACAATATCAGAACCAAGAATGCAGAGCAAATCAGCCTTTGCTGAATATAACCGCTCGGCAAAGTTCAGAAACAGAAGTTTTAAAAAGAGAAAATAAACTCATTGACGATTTTAGAACCTCTGTTTCCCAGCATCTGAAAAGTCTTAAATCTTCTACGATCCTGTCCAAACTTAATAAAACCCAATATTGATAGTTGCAAAACTACGACTAGGATCCAAAAACAAACAAAGCCAACAAGCCCGATCCTTCTCACACAATTCATTCTATGTGCTTAAAAGGGCTTTGGGACACCTGCATTTCCGGACCAAGCTCCCAATCCCACAGAGGAGCCACTTTTGAATCCTCTTTATCTTTCTTTCCAAAGCAGCTGGTGTTATGGGATGAGGTTTGCTGTTTCTGTCTGTTTGCACCCTGATCTATATGAAAAAATACAGAAAGGAAGCTAGGGCTCTAGTTTCTTTATTTCCTTCCCTGGGTTACTTGTTCCAAGACATGATCCTCAGGTACATGAAGCAGCAACCTTGCTAACACTAAGCAGACTGTGCAGCAACACCTTTTTATAAGCTGTTTTCAGGTCCATCATGGGAGAAAGGCAGGATATATGGGGAGTAAATTTAAGCGATAAAAGGGGTCCCCATCCAACAGAGACTCTTCTGGTTTGCCTCAGCCTCCGGAGAGTTCTCAAGGAAAACAAACTTCCCTCCCCTGTAACAGTTATCACACAAAAATGGGTTAGGAGTCAAAATATCAGAAACCCACAACAATGTTTAGAAGGGGGAAATATCAAGCAGGGAGGGCAAAAATTGCAAGAAGAAACCTTGAGCATATTTGTGCTCCAAAACAAAAAGGTTCAGCACCAAAGCTTCCATTTTCATCCCCAATAAAAACTGAGGTGCACGGCAACCTGAGTAAATGATGCAAAATTGAGAAGTTTCCCCCCTTTCCACATTATTTATTCTGTTTATGCTCATGACAGAGAGCAAATATTTCCCTAAGATTTTCTCTCTACCCCATCACTGAAAATCCAGCACAGCTCCCTCATCCCCACTGAGCCGCAACCTTTCAAACCTAGAAACACGGTCCTGATGTTGACTGCACTGTCTAAACATCAACTTTTGCACATGCCCAATACAATCACAGAATACGCATGGGTCTGGATGCAATTATACAGCAATAGCCAATAAAGAAGAACAAATCTAAGAACCTTTGCAGTGGGTTTTTTTGTGTTACTGAAGGAAAAGCGCCCAATTAATTATTTTTTTACAGCGGTTGGAGGGTGTGTTTTTTTAAAAAGGGTAACTCTTCTGAAATACTTGGGAAAATGTAGTTGTCCCCAGCTGATAAAATCTACTTAGTCTTATTCTGTCGGCAGAGGAGTAAGGGGCATCCAAGGAAATGCCTTGCTGATCGAGCTACTGCAATGGTAAGAAAGATGGACTCAGATCCTACCTCTGTCAGAGATTCATCATATATCCTTTGACGCATCACTTCGGCTCAACCACGGGCCTGTCTCTCTCTAAAATAAGGGCAACACTGAACCACCTCACAAGGAAGTTGCAAGAGTGCTGAGAAACAGAGAACCCTGTACAGGTTACAAGCCCAATATTAATGAAAAAGCTGTAGCGGAATAAAAAGAAGCTGGATTCTAATAATGCGGCAGCTCAATGGGGACCTTTTAGGTTAAATCAAGGGATGGACTTCACTGCTCTCACTCTTCTGCCTGCTTACACCAAAGTCACAAAAGACACTGCGATTTATAGCTGCTTTAGTTACAGGTGCCCATGGAGCTGGGATGCAGGTTCTCCCCCAACTACTGTTTTATAGAAGGGGCTGAAAGAAAACAGGTGAGTTCCCCCTCCTAAAGAGACAGGGAGATCAGCAAATGGGAAGGACAGCAGAAGCACCCTAGGTATGGGAGGCACCTTTAAGAAAAAGAAAAAGAAAGAGTGCTTCTCTGTGTTGCTTGTTAACTGCTGCCACAGTTGCACTGCTTTAATGCAGTTTACGACAAGGAAGGGGGACCTGTGGCCCTCCATATGCTGCTGGACTACAACTCCCATCATCCCTGGCCATTGGCCATGTTGGAATCCAACAACATCTGGAAGGCCATAGGTTGCCCACCCCTGGTTTAGAATGAGGCATTTGCAGGTTTCATGTCGCTATCCTGAAAGGTGAACCTTCACGAGGAAATACTGCAGGCAGGGCATGAAAAATATTTCATGCTTCTAGAAGCCAGTATCTGGTTTAGAAAAAAAGAGAAAAGAAGGAAACACCAACAAGTCACTGATTGCGGGTGGAGGAGCAAGTCAAATTCTTGGGAACCAACATGGTATCTCAAAAGAAATTTCCCAGTCTGGAGGCCTGCTTGCCAAGCTGGCGGCTCAGATGTGCAATTGATACAAGGGCATAGGATATTTGAGTTCTACCTTCATAAAACAAAGGGAAGAACTACTGTAATGTACAAGGAGCTGCTTATCGATATGGATTGGAAGTGGATTTTTTTTTGGGGGGTACGATACAGAGAAGGAAAGAAATCACACAGTAATAAACAGAAAATGAAAGCAAGGCTGTAGAAAGCTTTTCTATGGGTAGCACTTCCCAAAACATTATTAGTCCCACTGAAATAAAACTACATGCCTAATCTAAGAGCAACCATTTTCACAGAGCCTTTCTTGAAGCAGGGAGAGATGGAACAGGGGAAAGATGGCAAAGGAGGAGGATGTTGGCTAGAGGAGATTGGAAACTCAGAGAACAGATTTCATATCAGAAGCAGAAAGGGAAAGCCAAAAAGGAAAGGGCTACATTTGCATCATTAGCAACTGTTGCAGACGACAATTGTTAATATAACACCATCAACAGGTACATGGCACAGTAATGCAACCAAAAAAACAGCAGGTCCCTGACCTGAGGTGCTTGCAACTGAAGAACCAAACTCAGAGACCCCATTGTCTCCTCCACCATCACTACTTAGATCCCAAAGCCTATGAGAAAAGTTTTTAAAACCACAAAACCACAGCTGGTTCAGATATACTTCTCTGCTCTTTCTACATGATGTCCAGTTGAACTTCCCTTGCGCCATGACGTCACCACATCCCTCCATTGGCAGTGAATGATGTGACAGAGCCACTGAGTTGTTAGAGCAGAGGCAAGTTCTTCCAGGCATTACACAGAGGAGGGGGAAGGGAAGCAGAACTGGTGTTTTCTGAGCAAGTGCTGTTTTGCGAGTAACGTCCAATTTTGCCCTAAATTCTCACGGCGGGGAGAAGCAAAGGAAACAGGGGACAAATACAATCAAAGGGAGTTAACACGTATTTCGGGGAGAGGATCTGTCCCAGTTAGGGAGCAAGGTCTAAAGCATCAAACCAAAAGATTCAAGGAGGAATTAGAGAAGAGAAAGTGGTGGCACCACACTGAATGGCCTCTGCCTGCAATTAACTTACTGTTTAGACAGCAGAACACTTCAGTTCCCCAAACTGGAGGGGAGGGACAGACCTGGGCATGCCCATAACCTTTTGATGTTCTTTACTGCAAAACACCATCACTTCATCTTTTGATAGATATATATTTTGTAAATTAGGGCAGGGGGATGCTATTAGGGATGAGCTGGTAAAGGGGGAGGAACAGGTTAGGTGGCAGAAGGCCTCGGTGAACCTGAATTAAGCCACTTGATCTTGCTGCGCTCTCCCCCCCCCTTCACACATACCACAGTGCCCCCCTTGCAAAATGGTCACCAAACACATCCCACAAGCAGCACCCCCGACTTCCTAAGGCCGCCCGCCCGCCAGCCGCCCCCTCGCATGTGGGATCAGGTGGGAGGCAGGCAGGCAGTCGAGAGGGCCGTGGTGTCTATGGGAACTTGGCTGCGATACCTCATCACGCCCCAGCATGGCCTCAGAGCTGACAGGCCCGGTCCTGGCAAGGGATCCCGAACACCTCAGCCCGGCCCTGCACGGTGCCGGCTGCTGGCTCCCCTCGGCTCCTCTCCGCCATCTGCAACCTGCTTGACACATCTCCGCTCTCGCCGCCCCTTTAAAAGCCTCTAAGTCCAGGCAGCTCTCGGGGGCGAGCCTCCTCCGGCAGATCCCTCCGGATCCCGCAGCTCCTCGAGGCGGGAGAGCGGAGCCATCCCGGATCCAGGGCCCCCTGAAATCGGCAGACACGGCCCATCCCCTCCTCTCCTCCGCTTCCCTTCCCCTCCCCTCCCTCCCCCAGGGCTTAAAACATGAGAAACACACAGAGAGAGAGGGAGGCAGGAGCGCTTTACGGCCGGCAATTCCTTCCCCTGGAAATCGGAGAGGAGAAACTTTGGTTCCACGCTTGCCCCCGCGCACACACACATCCACACACACAGGCGCAGGACACGCGCGCGCGCCCCGGAGCCACTCCGCTCCTCTCCTCCGCTTCCCCCTGGTGCCCGTCAGATGCTGCTGCCCACCCAGGAGAGGACCCCCTCTTCCCAGTTAAAAAAAAACGCAACCCGGCCAAAAAAAAGGATGCACCCCGGTATCCGCTCGCTCGCACGCCTGCTTTCCTTTTGGGTACAAAAAAATAAATAGCGACGCCCCCCGCCCCCACTCAAAACAATCCAGCCCAAGGTGACAGCACGTAAGGGTGGGAAAGAGGGAGAATGCCCAAGAAAACAAAAACAACAAAGGAGATCCCGAAAGGAATGGGGAAACTGAGGAAAGCACAATAGTGTACCTTGCATTTGAGGGGGGGCCGGGGGAGGGGGAGGCTTAGAAGCTCCAGATCCCACCTCCAACAGATACATTCGTGCAACCCGCCTGGTAGCTTAACAGCACTCTCCCCCCCCCCAATCCTCCTTCCCTGCATATGAGTTGTTGTGATGTTTTCACATGCTGTGTGCGTTCACACGACCTGCCCTGCATATACAGCTAATTTGGGGGGAAAGGGGTTATTTTGCAAAGCGACTGGGGGTCCTCCTCAAAAGCATCACGCTGGAGGTCGGAGAGGGAGAGCGAATAAATTTTAAATGGGGAGGGGGGGAGGGAGAAAGTGTTGGCTTCTGGAAAAAAGGGACAAGGGTCTCTATTCCTTGAAAAGCATTCTTTCGCAAAGCCAAGAGAGATGGGGGGCGGCGGAGGGACTTACCTTTGGGAAGCGCATCCAGGCACCAAAGATTCTTCCTCATCCATCAGCAGCCTCCGAAAGAGAAAAGATGCTGTACGTCTTACAATCGCTACACACACCACACACACACACACACACACATATATCTACACAAACACTCACATATCACAGACAGGCACCAGCCAAATGTGCCTTAGGATGGGAGGAGATTGGAGATGGGGAGCAGCCCCCCCTTTAAAATCCATGAAGGGTTGGGGAGCGGGGAGCGAAGGAGAGATGGGCTACTCACCTGCTGTGTGGCCATGGGGCGGATGGCGATTCTGATGCTGGGTTTGTTGTCATGGTGGGCAGTGGAGGGGGGGAGAGAGAAGAGATCCAGCCAGTTGTTGAAGGATTTGTGTGTGCGTGCGTCTCTCCCTCAGTCCCCCCCACAAAAATAGGGGGGTGGAGAAGAGTCGGAGGGGCGGGTCGATCTCCCCAAAGAGGCGATTACAGATTCATAGCAGCAGTTCCCCCCAGTCCTCTCACCCCCTCTCTCCTATTCTACCCTCCACGGTTTCCTTCCTTGCCCTTGGGAGAAAACAAGGGGATGATGTGTGAGGAGGCTTCCCTTCCCCCGAACATCTAAAAAATAACAAGGAAAGCTCCCGCTGTAGCACACATCTACTCAGGGACCCCCTGCACCCCTAATTTTGGATGGAGCCTTGGGCATTGCCTATGCGCGGTGCAACCTCCAGTAACCCCCCCCCCCAACCCTCCTTGCTTCCTCCTGACTCCTCCTCCTCTTCTGCCCACCACTGAGATTTTCCTTAGTTGCCAGAACACCCACCCTCCCCTTTTCAAATGTAGGCAGACCACTCCCCTCTCTAAGCCCACTCCCCACTCCTTGGGCTTACTGGAGGTGGGAGAAGAAGAGGAGGAGGAGAAGGGGGACTTGCCCCTTGGCTTGTTACTCCAACAACATCTCCATGCACTTTGGAGAGCAGGGGAGGGGGATCAAAAGGGGGTGGGGGCTAGGTGAAAGCTGTCCCCAAATGTTATTTAAGATGATGATGATCAGCCTTTCCCTTTAAATCAGGGACATAGCTCTGGCCTCACTCTCACACACAGAGCCCAGATGGAAAAGGCCCAGTGCCTGCCGTGGCGATCTCTCAGCTTTCTGCCCCCCTCCGAAGCAATGAAAGGGTGGGGGGCGTTGTTAACCTTGCAAAACCCTTGCTCCTGCAACGGGGTGGGGCCCTCTAGGCGCTCCCACTGCCAGCCCCCCCGCCCTGCAATCCAAGGGGGGAGTGGGAACCTGGTGCCCCCCACCCCACCCTTTTCCTCAAGGGGGCTCTGCGCTGCCCAGCTGTCCCTCCCCCCACATAAGGGAGGGCCTTTAAACCCACCCACCCCCCTCCAAAGGGGCAGGTCGGGGAGTGGGGTTCAGTCGCCCCCACAGCTCCTCGGAAGGGACAGAGCTAGGCCCCACGGTGCTGGTGGAGCCTCCTCCTCCTCCTCCTCCCCCAGCCTCTCTCATCCTCTCCTCTTCCTCCTTCCCTTTCACATTCACTCACTCACACATACTGATACACACACCTCACTCAACGCATAACACACACACACACAAAACCGTCATGGCGGTCTCGGGAAGGCCAAAAGGGAACACTCGCCGCGCGGGAGCTCATGGGAGAAGTAGTTTTCTCCGCCACCTCAGAAGCATCCGCCTCTATGGGCACCTGGGGGAAGTTTGGACTACAATGGGGATGGCGGCCAATGCCTCCGCGCAATGGCGAGTGGGGATTGTAGTTTTATTTCCCGCCTCTACTCCTTGGGTCCGTTGGTCGCTATAGCCCCCTAAGAGGTGTTTGGACTACAGCTAAGATGGCAGCTTGCGGCGGCTGCGTCCCCAATGCCTCATGGGAAGGGTAGTTTTGCTCACTCATCAGATCAGGCCTGTGTAAGCCAAGTTCTCCGAGAGGTGTTTGGACTCCATTTAAGATGGCCGCTGAGGCGAAAGGCATCATGGGAATGTAGTTCTATCCTCCAGGCCCGTGTCTGGGTATTTCTCAGTGCCTTTATCGTTTGCCTCTGGGTCCTCAAGGAGAATGCCTGGACTACAACTAATATGGCGGAATAGGAGGGGAGGGACATACTGCCGAACGGAATTGCGGGAGATGGTGTTATATAGCTCAAAGCTAATTGAGTTCTGTTTTTATTAAGTAATTCCCATATGCCAACATTCCACGTTAGATTTTTTTTCATCTACATAGGATTGCCACCGTTTGATACTTTACCTCTGAGCATGTACAGAGTTCCTCTTCTCTCAAGGGTATTCACGTGTGGTTTGTTTTTTACCCTCCTTAAAATGAAATAAACAATTAAAACAAATGTAGAAAACTTATGGGAGAACTCCTGCAATTAAAATGGCCTTGTTACCAAAGGCAAATATTTTATTCCAGTTTTCAGCTATAGAACTGCAAGCACAACAGATCGTGAGATGACAGATGATTTCACTTATGTTTCTTTGGAATAATAAAAGACCAAAAATAGAAGCTGTTGCAGTTCAGTTATGAAAGAAAAGAGGAAGAATATCAGTGGTATGGCTAGTTATATCAATCAAGTAACTAACTAACTGGTTAAAAGAAACAAATTCATAAATATTGCAATTTAAAGAAACTTTAATAAAAGCACCAGTCCATACCACATTTGACATTTGGTTTCAAAGTACTCAAAACAAGACTTTATAATCAGCAATTTGTTATGAATGTGGGACAAGTATGGAATCTGCCTAAGCCCACTGATCTTGTCACATAAAATTGATATTACGGTATATGACTCACAAGGTGATTCAGGTTTAAAATTTCAAATGTAGGTAGAACATGATTTTCCTCACTATGGAATTATTCTAGTTGGTAGCAGGTAGGCAACATATAGGGGAGGTCAAAAGCAAATTTAGTGATTTTAATCTGTTTGGGACTTGAATAATTTCAGATCAGTTCATATGAGACTGATAATCAGTGAAGTGGAGAAAGAACCTTCGATAAATTTATCTCACACAGCAAGAAGCATCTCTCCAAAAAGTGTAGCTTCTTAGATACGGCATGATATCTGCATGATACCTCTGGGTCCCTTCCAAACCTCTGATCCGGTGTATGTGAAGTTAGAATCTATGAGGTGAAAGCAGCCAGATCTGTTCCTTTGATAAGGTAATGGCCTTGGCTGTCCAGTTAAGTACAGCACTGTCATTTACATGTCCCAAGAAGCTGCCATGGAGACAAAGAGGTGAGCTTGTTCCCACCTCCCCTTGCTAGATGATGTTCTCCATCGAGAGAGATTTCTTGGCTGATACTGAAAACCCATGACATGTCTTGCTCTGTGCTGCGCCCAAAGCTGGACTTTGGAGCTTCCATGAAAACCTAATGGAGAAGCAAGATCTGTTTGAGTATTAATGCTGTGAGCGCTTTCATCCTTTGCTCAGGTTGTATATATGTGTAAATAAAACCATATCTCCTAAAGACACCACAGTCTCCATGGACCTTCACTCAAAGGAAAGCAAACCCTGTGTAATTGCAGGAACCCCTGAAGTCCCTCGCTGCTCAGAGATAAGGGTGCGGGCAACAATATTTATATGTAGGGAAGTTGAAGTATTGCCCAATATTTGTACTGATTTATTAAAACATTTGCATTCTGCCTTTCGGCCCTGAACAAGGGCCCCCAAGGCGGATTTCAACCATAATATCGTGATACATTTAAAAACAGAGCGTTGGGAGTCAGAATAACACAGCTAAAATTGTTGTCGCATTAAATGACGAACCGGCTTTATCGTAAATCTCCAGGCGTCTTTCACACATGCAATACAAACAGCTAAAAATTGCTTTGAAAACAATGAAAACAGCAACTAACCATGTTTTCCGCCTTGCGCATTGGAGGAAAGGTGAGAAGAAAATGTAAGAAGAGAGTCAGGCAGAAAGAAAGAATTAAAGATGGGTTTTTAAAGCAATACAAATAAACACCCGAGGCAGGGACCTAAAAATGTTCCTTTATTTATTTTTGAAAGCCACAGCTAGAGAGCGAGATTCAAACATGCCCCCCTTGCATCTTCACCACCGCACTTGCACATTCATGATTTGGTAGGCAGGTGCCTCCTCTTAATTTTGGAGAGCCTCCTCATTTTGACATTTCTCGGTGATTTTTGAAGTATCAGATACTAATGACAGAAAGGCATACTACAGTCGAGTGTTCCTGGGTGACGCATACCATTAAATGACAAGGATGGCCCCACATGCTGAGACCCCGAGCAGAGCTCGCCTCAAGAGAGGCCCTGCTTCTCGGCTACTGTCATCAGTACCCCACTCCCTGCCCCAAGGTGACCATCAAGCCCGGGGTCAGAATGCAGAGTCATCATTCTGCGGTAGAGCAGCTGAAGTCCCGGGTTCAATCCCTGGAATCCCTAGGTAGGGCTGGGAGAGAACTCTGCCGGACACCTCAGAGAGCTGATGCCAGTCAGTGTAGGGAACAGTGAGTAAGATGGACCCATGGTCTGGTCGCTTCCTGTGGTCCTCTGCAATTTGGGGCTGTGTGCAGAAATCGCACCCAGCAGTGCATTTCTGAAATGGCGGCAGCTGAAGATCTTCCTTCTCCTGCCATGAAGGCTAGGCAACCTGTAGTCCTCCAGGTTTGGCCGCAGTGCTCATCATTCCTCCTGACCACTGGCCGTGCTGGCAGGAGTTGGGGTCCCATGTTCCTCAGGCTGTTGCCCCACTGCTGACGCCCGTCCAGAGATCTCAGATCATCCCCAGAGGACTGGTCTCGCTGACTTCCCACAATGTCTCTGACGTAACTGTTAAGTTGTGGGTGGACATAGCAATCGACACAGAGATTTCTCCAAGTGGTTCTTTATAGTAAGCTGGAACTGAACTGAACAGCATACAGCTCAGCCGGCCTGCTTTTATAGGCAGCCGGCTGTCAACATTGTAACAACAACAACCCACCCCTCCCCACCGAGATAAGGCATTACAGTGGTACCTCTGGATATGAACAGGATCTGTTCTGGAGCCCCGTTCGCATCCAGAAGCAAACGTAACTAGCGACGGCACGGCTGCGCATGCACACGTCGCCTTTCGCCGCTTCTGCGCATGCGCGCGACATCCTTTTGAACGTCTGCGCATGCGCAAGCAGCGAAACCCGGAAGTAACACACTCCGTTACTTCCGGGTTGCCGCGGAGTGCAACTCAAACGCGCTCAACCCGAAGCACATTCAACCCAAGGTATGACTGTAGTTACAACCATAGTGGTTCCATTACATACAGCAATACCCTTATTGGTTTCAGTAGGGCACATAAGCATATTAATTGACCCTATTCACCATACAACTTTACATGTGCAGTTTGTCCGGTGAGCATAGTCTTTTAAATAAGCTGGGCGCTTGGAAACCCTGCTGGACCGCCGAGGGCCAGTACCAGAGTGGTCTGAAGCATTGTGGGAAATTTAAATGGTGGCTTGCCCCTGGCACTCATTAGAACATCATTGCTGCAACCAAGACTTTCTGTCTCAAAAGGCCACAGAAGGAGAATGCCAGAGGGTCCTCGGCCTTCTTGTGGGCTCCCTTCTCCATCTGCGAGCCCTTGGGATGACAGACCCTCCAAGTGTCCCTATCTTTCAGGGACAGTCCTGGATTTACAGAAGCTGTCCGGGTTTTTGATTTGATCCCAGAATGTCTCTCTTTCCCTTAGGATGTCCCAATTTTCATTGGGGAAGTGTTGGGAGGTATGGAGTTGACTCAGGGGTCAGCAAACTTTTTCAGCAGGGGGCCGGTCCACTGTCCTTCAGACCTTGTGGGGGGGCCGGACTATATTTGGGGGGGGGGGAATGAACGAATTCCTATGCCCCACAAATAACCCAGAGATGCATTTTAAATAAAAGCACACATTCTACTCATGCAAAAACACACTGATACCCAGACTGTCCATGGGCCATGGAGTTATGTAACCCCCGAGCCAAGGAGATAACTATACAACATTTAGACGACATTTGAAGGCAGCCCTATATAGGGAAGTTTTTTTTAAAAAGTTTAATGTTTTATTATTATTTTTTTATACTGGTTGGAAGCCGCCCAGAGTGGCTGGGACAACCCAGTCAGATGGGTGGGATATGAATAAGAATAATAAAGTTATCACCATCATTATTATGGACTAGGACATCCCTATTTTCATCAGAGAAGTGTTGGAGGGTATGGGATAAGTGCCATCAGATCAGAGGCAATATCCCACACAGATACCCCTCTGGACTCATGCAGCCCCTACCTGAATGAGGATATCATAATGGATGGGCGAAACCTTTAAAATGCTAGCAGTGTAATAATCCTGTAAATTAAGAATATTAGAATTTAGGGACATAAGACAAGCCTGCTGGATCAAGTCAACAGCCCACTTAGTCCACCATCCTGTTCCTACAGTGGCCGCCCAGAGGCTTGTGGGAAACCAACAAGGCAGGACCCAAGCTGGACAGGAGCTTTCTCCCTCCTGTGATTTCCAGGAACTGGTATTCAGAAGCCTCCTTGTCTCCAGCTGTGGAGGCAGTGCAACCATAGCTAGGCTGATTAATCAAATTTAAAAACCAGAGGGACCCAGGTTCAAATCACCACCAGTAGGCCATGCAGCAGCTCCCTTGGTGCGATGAGCTTTGCCTCGTCACTCTCTCTCAGCCTGACCTTCC